CAGTTATTCTACGACGTTTCGTAATTCTTTATCACTAAAAATTAACAAACACTCGTTTTGACGCATTCCGTTCTGCTGTGTGTGTGTGTGTCTGCTGTTGAAAACAACCTTCCTAATTTTGTGACTGGCTATGATGACTGAGATGGACCATGTTGACTTATTAATAATATTTTGTTTGAGATGGAAAAAAGGAGTAAATTTCCCAAAAATGCTCCATCAGCAAATAGGGTGCGCTGTGGACAGTATGGCTATGGAATTTACTAACCACACAGTCCAGAATCAGGTGATTAAGTCGCAAAACTTTAGCTGCATTTGGTGGATTAAGTCGCAAAAGCTTCGTTTAGTGGCGCCATTTACTCTAGGTAGACGGCGACCAGTTTCGTTACCGGTTGGTACATTCTTACAAACATTCAGGCAAAGGCCAGTCAAAGTTGAGACGGGAGCCGGGTTTTTATCGATGTCTGTCATCCTTATATGTAAGCCATCGTAAATTCATAGTTTGCCGGAGTTGCGTTCAATTTAAATCTCCGAACTTCTGAAGATGAGATGTTCTATGAATGAAGGCTTATATCGCAGGCCAGAATTAAAAAAACGGGTCACCAAATAATGAATTAGGTGCTAAATTTTGATTTAATGCTGGGTAAGTTAAAAACAGACATTCCTTCCGAGTGGGACTCATTCAAAAATTTGAGGGGGTTCGCTAGAGAACAGGGGGGTTCGCTAGAAAAGGGGGGTTCGCCCGAACCATAAAAACCCCCCCTGGCTACGGGCCTGATTAGACAAGAACATCTTTGTTAGATCATGATGACTTTCTAAAATGCAAAATCTACTCTTCCTCTTTGCACTCAGACAAGCCACCTTCACAGATAACCCTAATTAATATTCAGCGCTAGCCTAGCGTTTTTCCGACCGTAACCAAAACAGAGATTAAAAACAATCTTGTGATATTTGTGTACATGAATGACTCATCTTTCTCATGCTTCATAGAAGAGATTGTTAATTTTTCAAAAACATAAAATGCCAATCGCATATATTTTAGATTTCAGATCGGTGTTGCTAGGGCAACACAAGCCTTGATTGTGCCTAATACTTGTTATCTTAATTCCATTCTTAAACCTAGTTTCCATAGAATCACTACACAGTTGCTACAGCATTTCACTGCAATCCTTGCACTACGTAACTGTCCCTGACACAACCAGGAACGCTCCGATTCAACTGACTAATCAGCGTCGCCAAATGAGTTGGCGATAGCGTATAGCGATTTTTATGGAAACCAGGCTGTAGTGTATTATACTACGGACAATAGCTAACACATATCAAATAGTATTGTACTGTACTAGGTTTTTTTCTTTTAAAACGTGGGAGGAAAAGGCATACAGTGTAGACCGTAGTTTTAATGTCTTTTATTCTAAAAAACTTGTTATCTTAATTCCACTCATATTATACTACGGACAATAACTAACACATAATATACTACTCTACTGTACAAGGTTTTTTCCTTGCAAACCTTGAAGGGAATAGGCATATAGTGTAGACCATGTTATGTCTTTTATTATAAAATACAATGAAGCCTACTGTAGTATAGAGATCTAATCCAATGTCAGTATTCATTAGCTGTTTCTAGGCTTTTCTTCTCAATCTGCAGCCAAACTATTTTTGTTTACTCCTGGGCAATTACAGAGACTTAGCAGTAAAGGATATAGGCTTCTCTCTGCAGAAGATCGAATAGATTAACTTCATAATTTCTAGTCTGTAGATAATACCGTATGTGTGGGTGTTGTATGGAGGTGGAATATGCAGGGATGGAATGTCTGTGTGATATAATTTGTAAAATGGCTGTATAAATAACAGTATATAATAGGCCTGCTATGTTTAGCATGTTTTGTCCTTGTTCGTAGTTGTGTATCCTTATGTATGCATTAATGTCTGTATCCAAGTATGTGTGGGTATGGAGGGGAAATATTGGATTAGTACAACATTTAGAGACTTCACATGAATTTCGAAAGTGTTACACTTACTAAAACGTATTATCTTTATAATTTTCTCTATTCAAATTTGTTTCTCCATTTCTTATCATTAATTGAAGAGTGAAAATACTACAAATAATACAAATATACATTTCTAATCGTTTTCACTTTCACTTTATATATAGCCAAATACTGAAAATTATGGCAAGCCCCATTATCACCAAAATTCAAGTGTGATATATTAAATTAATTTGTTAATGCAATCTACGTACCCTGTGTTTGGCTGAAATTGATAGATTCATTTGTATTATAACAGTTGACTATTAGTATTCAACAATATATAATCAAAAATAATTATAATAGAGGAAAAAGACAATCAATTGTTAATAGTTTTAAATTTATATGGCGCAAAATACAAAAAGTCTCTATGCGCTGTAAACATAAGTGTAGAGATGTTTGGAATTGTGAAAGAATAAAAAAAAATAAATATGAAAGTTCCAAGCCAAGCCAGCACTCAAACCGCAGTATGGGGATATGCCCTAGTCGCTAACCAGGGACTGATCTAATTGAATACTGGTGAGCACCTGTTTAAAACTAGAAAAACAATAATATTACAAATAATGTTTGATATGTAAAGATACAAACATGTTCAAACTGCAAAACATGTTCAAATCCATTTAATGATCATTGCCTATTATTAATAGCAATGTACAGAAAATAAAATATTTCTATACTTCAGATTTGAACTGTAAGTATTAACAATGTGTCACCTTCAAATCACTTGGGAGTATTTTTAAGCCCTATTCTCACTATCAAATTTTATTTGGGAAAAACATGTGACACGCCTAAATACGGTCATGATGACATCACATCATGACCATATATAGGCACATCATGACTATATATGGGCATACAACAGTTTTTTTTTTTCAAAGAAAATATGATAGTGTAGACAGCATCTACAAATATTCATATTTCATATTCATGGAGACTTGACCCTCCCTATCACCATTAATACTGCTATTGTAGTAACACTGAACAGTAGTGGAGACACAAAGTCCTGTAATACTGTACAGAGTGCAATTTAACGAAGAACAAAAGGGCTGATCACTTAACATTACATATACTGCCACTTGAACACTTGTGTATTAACATTAAAAACAATTCTGTGTAACTGACATTTAGGCTTGGAAAAAAAGAAAATTAACCAGATAAAATCAGTACTACTGGTAACCAGGAAATGCCTCACGGTTGGTATAACTTCCTTTGATCATATCATGTAGTGCCTATTGCTAAATAACAAGAAGTGGCTGTTACTAAATTTTACTTCGTAAAAATTTGAATCATGAAGTAAATATAAATATCATTAAAATATATTATGTTAATTATTAGTATATTAATATATTATATAATTTTATATAATATATTTACAGTATATTTTTTCATTACCATTATACTCATTTAAATCCTATGGAAAAAAACATTATCAATATTATGATAATTATTATTTTCATTTATTCTTTATATATACCATCAGCATTTTCCATACACATTATTTATAAACTTATTATTTATCATTTTAATTCCATTACTATAAATTAAAATTCTGTTCTCTTTTCATATGATGACATTTGTTTTTAGTCATATTTCAAAATGGTAATTAATCAGTTAATAAATTCAGTATTTTTGTCAAATTTGAAACAACCCATCATTTTGTTTCACTTAACTATTAAAACACTTTGAGCATGTTGTAAATGTAATCTGATAGCTTATAATATATTTTTTTAATAACCAAAAATTCAAAACCCTAAATATAAAACACAAAACAATGTATACCCGATACTACCATATTTGTTTTATTTATCTATTATAATTTATCCATCTTATTATTCAAAATTATTATTTTCTTTTTTTTTTAACTGGTGGTCATGACTTAAAGTGTTTTACAAACTTACTTTGGCCTCCTACCGCACACTTTTTTCTCTGATTTTTGTTTTGAAAATTTAATTGTAATGTCTACCTTTTAAGTTATGTTTTACATTATACGTGTGTGGTAAAACAATAAAACAAACAAAATACTTAGGAAAATAAAGTCTTTAATTCTGGATACAGTAGTTTTATTCTGTTTAACTGTTAGTCAATAATAATTTAATAAGAAACAATAAATATGCAATTTAATGTTTTCATTGAATTTTAAATACTTTTTCATATTAAAATACAGTATTTAAAATAAAAATCAACATGAATGTAAAAGGCATTTTAGTAGCTTTATACCCCAATAAATTTCCTGCTTCTATTTAAACCAATTTTCTGGATTCAGTGAAATATTTGCATAGTTGAGTGTCCTACTCAGACACATTGTGTATATTTTTTTTTCCAAATATTTCCTTGATTGCCAATAAAAGTCACTTGAGGTCACATAGAATAGAATACAGATCCTTTGTATGTCGATAATCAATGGGGTTTCTATTCAAATAAGGCCAGTTATTAAAGACAGTTTCTCATTCAAACTTTGTGAAACAGGAAAGAGGCAGGCGGCTCCTCCCATTCTTTCGGCTGTCACTCGGTCGTCGGATCAAAAATTTAAAAAAAAATAATTTGCCTATCCAAATAATGTTATTTTTACTGCCAATCCCTAATATTGTGTTCTAAAAGCACATTTTGGGCCATAATAAGCCATCAAAAACTCTCCCCGTGGATATTACTAGGGAGTTTTTATTCCAGGCCGTCAACCGAGGCTTTGTTGGCCCTTTAGCTCAGACCCCCCCCCCCTCATTCAACAAGTCGGATTCCTTGTCGGATAATTACGGCGCCACTGCTGATTAAGGTCTTACACAGGGAATACCTTTCAGCTACTTTTCATAACACCATGGTAACATCAATTCTAATATACACACACAAAAACAGATACGAATATATGATATGAAAATAGTATTAATAATATGCTATTCAGAACTATAAAAACAGTATGTGAGGTGGTAGCGAAAACTGGACAAGAAACTAACTGTTTTTTTGTCCTAAGAAAGGGACGTGATTCCACTATTGTTTGTGTTGATACTATGATATTATTTCTTTATATGGTGTTTTAAAATTAATGCAATTACAGAATATTCTCCATAATAATAATACAGAAATCTATACTGCCCCTTTTGCCAAGAGATACAAGGAGGCCCAATAAAAATAAATAAAAAAGATAACAATTGACGATCAACACTCTATGATGGAGTCAATGCATACAAAGAAAAGTAAAGAAACTTTATTTTAAAAAAATAATAATAAAGAAGCACAATAAACAAATAAATAAAATACTATAAATATACTTACCAGAGCATTGTTTTCTCGAATATTTTCCTTCGATAAAGCATCAAAATCACTGGAAGAGGAAACAAAAATTGTAAGTGAATGTCAACAAATACAGGAATATGGAAGTCTAAAAACAGTACTGCCAAGATTGCAACATGAAAGAAAAACTTTGGAACTGGTTTCATGTCATTTCCTAGGATCTAAAAGGTCGAAAGTTCTGCTTTAAATAATAACACAAGAGAAAAAAAAACAGGTTCAGCCAAAAATAAACATAAATCTTTAAATACCAGGGGATTATGAACGGAACTACAAAGACCTAGATTATTTGGTACTCATACCTATGTTAGGTCTGCTTAATGTCGGATTGTGTACAATGGGTTCCCCTATGTTTAATTGTCTGGGATTTTCAAATGACAATCTTGAGACCTAATCACAGTGATTCTAAAAACTGGGAATTGTATCCTGTACTGTACAGTAATCATTTCCCCTCACTTTAATTTATCCATAGAATCACTCCCTAGAGGTCAAATGAATGTACAGTAGGCCTGAATTCTTTATCTTTCTGTAAAGTACCATTATGAATTTTTGTGATAAACTTAAGATTATTAATTATAAAATGTACATTTTATTTATTTATTTTTCTCAGTTAGTAGGCTACTTCAAGTACTTGGTAGAGCGAATGATAGACATAACTTAATTATAAATTTTAAGTTGCATAATCTTTTTAAATTAGTTATATTTTGTTGATAACTGTAAACTAACATTCATAATGAATACACTTTTGAAATACAATAATTATTCCAATTATACTACATATCATGCACATTATTTTTCATTGCTGCAAAGCAGCCAATTCATATTCTTGACAGCAACTTGACCTATGAAAGGTCATTGTTTGTCAAAAAACAAGGGCCTAAAGACGACTGAAATGTGGAGTTTCCTTCTTTCGTTCTGCCGGGTAAAATCAATTACCTTAGGCGACGTTTGTAGACTAACATACACGTACCAACGTCCGCATGTCGCGAAGCTCGAGTATTATTATTCAGCGTTTTAACTATATTTCTAGGTTTCCTATTTCTACGTTTAATCGGCCCATGTCTCAGCCACAATATTTTGAGGCCAATATTATTTACGTACCCAGTTTAAACTTATTTACTAGCCTATTTCTGCGTGCTAATTATTACATTTAGGCGCAGTTGTACTTTGCAGCACTTCACTTGCAATTTGCAATTTCTAGTTTTAATTACAATTCCTATGATATAATTTCAAGTCTTTTTTTACTTCACAATTATTACTCTATAAATAAGTAAGCAGTTTTTACATTTGTACTGTACTCATGATATCTCCTAGATTTTTTCCAATAAAAATTCATACTATTTTCGGTAGCAACTGATCAGCTGAATGGATACCTGTTCACTTCTGTTACACATATTTAAAAAATGTATCCTAATACTAAATTAATGAATGAATGCAAAGCTTTATAAATACAAAAACACATGTTTCTTACATAAGTTCTGGTCGGTAATTATGAATGATGGCACAGAAAGCAAGGCCGTCTCGCCACGATTTCGTCATGTTTTCAATTTTGACATCTTCGTAACCCTCCGTCACCTGTTGACACCACGCCTGCAGTGCTTTTGCACCCCTCAGCGCCATCTTGAAATCTAACCACTAGCTTGTTCACAGCCTTAACATCATCTGCAAGATTCAATATTTTGTTCATGTTTTCAATGCATGTACTGAAAAATGGGCTCCCTGTGGGAGCATATGTCTACTACTTGTTTTTTTTTGGGGGGTTTTTTTTGGCTACTTTTAACTTATCTATGCTTTCTGTGTTAGCAATTCACTAGAATAACTGCACAAGTATATACCAGATTTTTGTGACTTTAGTGAACTTTCTAGGACAGATCTTATCTAGTAACTTTCTGTGTTGGCAATTCATTGATAGCTTTAACTGTCAACTAGGACAGGTCTTATCTAGCATAGCATATTTCTTAACCTTGTTTTTCATTTTTATTTTTAGCTCATGACCCATCCCATCATTACTCCACCGGATTTACTCCCACCAGGTCACCAGGTCAGACGATAACAAAGTGTTTACTCCCTCTCCCCGGGGCAGTAGAAACAAAAACAACATTTTCATATACAGTAATAATATGTTAGATTTATATAGCGCTTAAAACCAACAAGGCCTCTAAGTGCTTCACATTACTACCACCCGGTCATTGGATTAAATGCCTATGGAACATATTCCATAAAGTTGCAGCAGCTACAATCAGCGCATTTTGGCATTTAACCCTACCTTTAATATATGTTTAATATTGTGTGTTTTATGTGGTGATTATATTTGGAGCAACTCAATTCTCAACAACTCAACATGGACATTCTAAAAAAAAATCAAGTTTTTTTCAGAATTACCTATGTGATGTATTACAAGCATTTTATATATTTATTGTAATGTAATATTATCCTTGAAAAACAAAAGAAAAATTATAGTGCAATCACCTCCACTTTCAACATTACTCTTTATTGTAAAATAATATAATATTTTACAATGTATATTACTGTATCCTGAAATTGTTACAATGTTACTACACACTACAAACTCAATAAAAAAACATAAAAATCATCAAAAATAATATGAAATATACTTAATAACATGTATATGGACACCAATAAAAATAGCTTTCATTTTAATAAAGTGTTATGAAGCATAGTATGCTAATACTACAGTATCTCTTGAGATTTATGCTGAAAAAAGTGTACTGAAGCTTACTGTAATTGTAGTGGAAAGCATTAATTTCTGGGATTATATGTTTGTTTTAAAGTGGGAATTACTCTATTAGATATGCTAGACCTATTAATTATATGTACAGACAATGGCAGAAATGAAAAGAGATTATATTCACAGGAGCTGTCTGGCGCAGTGGTTGAGGTTCTCATTCTTATCATTGAGGTCGGAGGTTCAATTCCTCGCTGTGCAATATGCTTGTGTCCTTAGACAAGGCACTTTATCAATGTTTGTCTCTCTCTACTCATGAGTACAAGCCATGGGTACCTGATAGGTTCAAACACAAAATGCTCTGATTACAGCTAAAACATTATGGAATTACCACTACCCAGAGAGCTAAGTATGTGTTCCATATGTGCTTGATCCAGTGACCGGGGGTAATAATATGAAGCACTTACAGTACAGGACTTGTTGGCATTAAGTGCTACAGTTTAACATATTATTATTAATTTATGACTTCTAATTAAGTGCTTGAACTCACAGTAAAATTTAGTAATTGAGAGATACCGATACCGTTATTTTATTAGCATTTTAGCATTTGCCATTTTCACATTTTAACTAAAGAGTTTTCCAACTAATCTACATTTCATATTTAACCTTTTACGGATCTTAATTTAGCTTTGAAATTCTATGTATAATAAATTACCTTCTAGGCATGTCACTTTATTATTATTTTATTCAAAAATTATATAAGCATTGTCATTGTTTAAGCCTTGTTTGTAACTTTATCTAAGTGTGTTAATATTTTAATATTCAACAATCGTACTGTAAATGTCACGCAATTCAGCTATACCGCTGCTGCCATGTTGATATATGATTAAAATGAAATGAATAAGCACAAACACAGATGATACAATTTAGCTTAGACATCATCTTGAACATAATTCATCAAATAAAATTAATTGTTCCAGGATTTTAAATTATTTTTTGGTGAGGGTATTTACTACTTCCTATTTTTTATCCTATATACTAATTGGTAAACAGGCTGGTAAATAGTAAATATAGTCGTCTTAGGCTTGACATCATTCTTTCAGATAGTCATTATTTTTATTGTCCATGGAAAAATGAATATTTTTTTGAAAAATAGCAAACAATAAATTTTTTCATGAGACTCCAAAATTTGATAAGGGCGGAGACGTCAAACTAGCAATTAATTTTATTTGTCCTAATATTCTGTGCAAGTTTCTGCTTCCTATTTTCCATGAACTCATATGTAAAATTAATTTTTTTTTGGCACATAACGCTCAGCGTGTTCATTCTTAACACCATGGGGAACATACGACTTCATTACATTACCATTCACATTCTAGTAGGTAACCACTCCTAGGTGAAATGAAAAAAAACTGAAACCATTTTCAGATAAATGTTGTTGCAATATTGTGGTATTGAATACTGACATACAAACTTTCACATAGTACCAGTACATTATAAATTAATGGAAACTATAAAGAAAATCAAATAAAGGACAAGCCATAGATATATATAGACAAGGAAAAGGATCAAATTTCATACAAAGTACTGACATTTTGGTACAAATAAATTTGCCATCGGGTTTTGTGTAGCCTGCTGGCCGCACTTTGCCGACCTGTGTTCTACGGTAAGGTTCATAGTCAGCTGCTATCATAAAAAATAAAATGTGATATGAAACTAGTTTACAAATAATTGCACTGCGAACGAGATTAACAATACCAGTAGTTAATTGAGCATGTAATACATTCAACAAAGAAATAAAATAAAATGCATTTCATATTATTAGTTCAACAAAGTGCATCAAACTCTTTTGGAACGTGTTAAAGATCTGTCTGCACTATCAAATTCTATGTGACATATGTGTGTGATGTACCCAAGGGCATGGTAACTCTTAATAATCACTTTATTCAAAAAAAGAAATAAAGGAAATCATACAAAAAACCTAGGTCAATGTTCAATTAAAACAATTGCAAGGTAAAAATCAATCAAAAGACTCATTACAAAACATTTAGAAAAACTTAATAATACAGTAATATGAAAAAGGTAAATACAAGTTTAGCACAAAGTTTTAAAATATGAAAAAAAACCCCAATTTTTAAGCAGCTTAGTATGAAAATTACAAGGATAAATTGTGTCGTTAATTAAATAGGAAAATATTGTGTTAGTTTAAAATTTTCAACACTACATAATAAATAATAATAATTCATAATTTGTTTGAAATATTTTCAACTTAATAATTTATGTATCTGATAAAACAATTAAATTAGAATAAAAATTAAAAGATTAATAAAATTAAACAATTCAGAATTTACAAAGAGACAAACATTATTAAAAGACATTAACATTATTTTAATAATAATAATAATAATAATAATGTTATATTTATATAGCGCATATTGCACATTGCCCCTATGCGCTTTACAAAGAAATAATATAGGCCAACCCCGAAAAAATACAAATAACAATAAAATAGCAACAATGAAATAAAATTAAAAAAAAAAAAATATCCTAATAATTATCATAATAACAATGAGACTAAACTACTCCTATTCCTTAAACTAATTAATGGTTGGCCGTTGACTCCGAGGAGCTCATCCGCTTGCAACATGATAATGTGAATAGAACTTTAAATAAATTAAATAAATAAGGCCAAGTTAAAAAAAAAAGTAGTTTCTCGTCCTAATATTTTGAAAAAAAAAGAAAAAGAAATAAGGGCACGTTCTTTTTTTTTTACTCTGAGATGGCAAATCCAAGATGGTCAATGGGAAACAGATACTATAGTACTTTCTCACTTTTAACAAGTAGACACATTGAAAGCAAATAAAGGAAGCACTAGACATCATTCATACCATACAGTATGTATCACCAACCACAAATGACTGAGAGAGGAATTTTACTGATGAGAGTTCTCCAGATTTTTCGTATATTTCATAAAATAAAGGAAATAAAAAAAAAATTGGTAAGAAAATGAATGCGTGAGGGAACAAGAAACTAATAATTTTATTTTACTTGGCCTAACATTGAAATTTTTAATATCTGAGATTAATTTTAAAAAGCTGATCAAAATTGTAAAATATCAAGAGAAATTACAATTTATTTCAAAAGATTTATACTCTAAACACTAAATAGTTATTTCATTTTTAAAATGATAACAGATTAGAAGTGAAATAATTATAACAACATAAACCAAAGAACACTTCAAACAATTTGTCATTTTTCAAACCTATTGAATCGTACATTGGCACCCATTATTTATAACTGGTTGCACGCTATATGAAATTGATTGATGGATTAATGAGGGAAAATTATTATTTTTTATTGTTTAGGAAGTGTCAATATTGGATTATCAAAATCAATTGATTTAATCAGCTAAAGATATGCATGGGAAATCATAATGCTAGAAAGCAGTAAATAAGTTAGAGATCGTCATCATCATTGCCGCTTTTGTAGTCGCCATCTTTGTCATCGCAATAATCTCCATAGTTCATCATCATCATTTTATACTGTAAAAACCTCTCCTCACTGGACAGTTTGAGTCAGGAAGGTCAGATAGATATCATAGATAGATATTTACTGGATAGCACTTTTGTAACAGCGACACACAATATAAAAGTGCATTCAAAACAAGCATACAAAAACACATCCCGTATATGTACACCTATATCATATCAATCATTAAAGGGAAAATTTAGCTTAACTGATTAATTAGAACAGGAATATGTTACTACAGTATCCCACAAACACAGAGATTAACATATGTTGTTGTTTGTGGGACTTCAAACAACATCCTAGAGGCAGCTGGGTTTAGTAGAACTGCTAAGTTTTCAGAACGAAAGACATTCCTCGTAGTTTACTCCTTTTTTTATATATAAATGCAGAGTTCTACATTATATGGAACTTTCAAACATATTCTATTTATACACAAACATCATAAATTAAATTCAGTACATAGTATTAGTAATTTCCTGGTAATTAAAAAAAGTAGAGTACTGCAAGTTGTTCACTTCTTAAAACGAAAGAAAATAGGAGCAGAAGAGGGATTGAACCAGAGACTATGTCTGTCATGGTTGAGCGCACCAAGGAGTTACACACAGTGGCTATGACATAGACAGAGGTATTAATCTAGTAAAATGTTGGCCTTGCTTTTTAATATAATTTATTCTCAATAAACCTCAATAAACAGTAGGCTGAACATGTAGCAACTGGATAAACAATGAATCACCCGTCATTATGTAACAATACTCAATTCCCTGAGATCACCAATTATTTTTATTGACAACTAATTGCAGCATCCAACAAAAGCTCAGACTATAGCATCTACATTATATATTCTGCAATGTAGTTTTTTTTTTTTTTTTTGCTTATCACTAATATGTCTATAATTTACATTTTACATTACTGCACCCTTTATTTATATTCAAATGGTACGAACATTTATAATGCACCTTTTCTTTGTGGTTATAAAGCGCAGTTCTATTTCCTGGTCATTGGGACCTCATGTTTTAAGTGTTGCTGCTGGTAATCGGTGCAGAAGAAGGCAACCCTACCAGGTACCCATTTATACTCCAGTGTGGAGAGAAGCAATGCAAATAAAGTGGCTTGCTCAAGGACACAAGCAAAATGCATAGCGAAGACTTAAAACCACAACCTTGAGGTTGGGAAATCAAACTGTTCCTGCTACTGTACGCCAAACCGCTTGTCATTAATATCAGGGGCTCCAAGTCAAATTCAACTCCGCTCTCTGTGAGCGACAGACGACGCGACGCTGCCTGCTGATTGTCGGTGGCAGTCTAAACTGATCGTCATTAAAAACGATCCGTTGCGCTTGTTGGCCGATGACTGCTGTTCACAGTGAGTGCCCCGCTTTAGAGTCTCTGGTAAATCAGGACTGCCTCCCGCACTCACATGAGCAAACAAGAATCTCCCAAAAAATAACCTAGCTTCTACAAACGTACAATAAGCTCATGTTTTTATACTATATTATCAATTTTTCATTCGGAAGTAATCCACTGCAACACACACAATTGTGCTGAAAAAGCTCATTCCATACTGAGACCCTTGTACATATTCCTTTCAATTACTTTATACAATGTTTGTTCTTTCACCAATCATACGCTTGGTTCTTGACATATGGTAACCTGAGCTTTTAATTTTCTTTTGCATAACAAAATGTTTAACTGACTTGAGACATTAACACAATTTTTATGGTGTTCTAGTGCAACTTTCCAACCGCTGGAACTCAAAATTCCAGGCATTAAAGTGAGTCCCCACCCCAGAAATGTTAAGTTTTGTTAACATATGCATTAATTGTCAATTAAAGGTGATCTTTGCAATTTGGAGGTATCTGTAACAAAAGCTTTTGTACACCGACATCATTCATCACACACAAAAAAAAATTGACATAGAATGTTTTTTTGTATTTTGTATGCCAAATGGACCATGAATTTTCAACTTGTTATGATTGACAATAAAGTTGTATCTTATAGAAAAACTCAAGTATTGGTAGCAAATAGTCACTCATTAGCTTTTTTAAAACTTTGACAGTTTTTCAGGAAATTTAAGAGAATTTTACAGAACTCAGGAGACCAGGACTTTGCATAAAAATTTGGAGGACTCCTGAAGCATTGGAATGTTTGCACTGTACATCCAACTAAAAAACACAACAGAAACGGTTCTCTTATCTCTGGTTGGCAATATAAGAGAACCAAGATAAAGATCTATAAAAACTGTGCCACGAGAAATCCTTCTTTTTTTTCACCCCCATTCAGACGGTCACTCTTTTCCCAACACAAATCACTCTTGGCCTGCAGACACAGAATTGACTCTTATGTCAAAAAAACAGGTGAAGAATATATAGCTGTCTCTCTCTCTAGGCTACTTTCTTTGTCTATACTCATAAGTACCATCATTCATCCATGCTTCGTAACTGACCAGAATACCATTCTTAAGCTGGGCATCCACTGCGTCGTACGACAGCGAATCCAACTGCACTCCTTGTGAGCGCAAGATGACGCGACACCGTCTACCAATTTCAGGGGACCAAGTTGGAAGAAGTCATTTCTGGCGGGATGGGGGATCAAAGGGTCTGGGAGAGGGGGCAAGGAGAGAAATTTTACAGAGGGAAGGTCTAGACCACATTGGCACCCATGGTTGGAGCCGAGGAAAATTTATGATTATGGCACCTCTAGATGGCTGGAAATGACCATCTTAGACTTCAATTTGAATATAATTTTCTTTTCTACCCCACTTTTTCATAATTTTGAAAAATATTTAGGGGGCAAGGGTCAGCTTCCCAATACCTTGAATCCGCCACTGATCTGGTTAATGAGCTTCCTTAACACATACTGTAATGTTATTTTGCTGCACATAATGACCCATCAGCACTGACATACGTGAGAAAAATTGATAATAAAGCAGTGAAAACAAGAACAAATTATGAATTTATGTAGATGGATTAAATTCCGGGAGATTCTTGCATGCTTGCGAGAGTGCGGGAGGCTGTCCCCATTTCCGGGAGATTCCTGCAAGTTCCGGGAGACTTGGGACCCCTAAAATTTTTGGTGGTAGTAAGGATCGTCATTAAAAACAGTCTGTTGCGCACGTTGTGGCATTGCGTTTTCTATAGAATGGCGTCAACTAATGATCATCGGGCACAGTAAGTGCTCAGCTTGACAAAGTGTTTAACAACATACATTACAAATTTTACATTCAAAACAATATGATGAATTGAAACAAACAAAGTTTTGCTCAAGACTCAACTTAGACTTTAGTCTTCTTAGGCAACTAGTGAAGCCGTTCTGGCTAAGGCACCTAAAAAGGGTATTAGGTTTGGCTACCTAGGCCCTATTATTAGCATGTAGGGGCCTAGGCCTAGTTAGTAGGCTGGGTACTAAAGCCAAAAGGCTAGGGCCTACTTAGGCCTCTAGGCCAACATTCCATTTAAATTAAAACAGGCAGTCCAGTAGGCCTAGGCCTAGCTAGTAGGCCTAACTAATTAAGGCGCAAGGCTTGTATGAACTACACGAATATAGAGTTAAGTTAATCTACTTCGATCGATTAACCAATATATTTTGGATGTTTAATTAATATCATATAATCAACATACGACATTTAAATACATACCAAACTATTAAACTTTTCTAATTTTGTAATGTTGTCTACTCTCGCGACGACTTTCCCACAAGTAAGGGCCGATCGTCCGGAAGTTAATAAGATATAGAATGGATACGCTGAAAGTATGTGACGCGAGTTGATTAGTCAGCGAATCACAATTAATGCCATAGAGATGACATATTTCAATGCTGAATTATTACGAGCGAATGGCAATTGTCACTTATTATTGATTACAAGATGTATTATTCATACAATTCTATAGAAAGAAGATACAAATCATTTCCTTTCCATTGTTTATACCTGGAGTGGATGTCATTATAACAAAAAATTGTCATGTCTTTTGATTGGTCAGTCTCGTGACCCAAATATAACCCCGGGAGAAGCGGCATGTTGAACTTTGTGGAGGCCTAGGCCTAGCCCCCTTGGAATATTTCTAATTAAAATATCGTTTTTTGAGATGAGCCAAGAAATCAACGAATTATTAGTGTCTTTGCATAGCTTCCTACAAAATGTTGGGTCTACCCACACCGGTGAAAAAGCTTGCTCGTTGGCGGCAGATCTGTCTTCTGTTTGCTTGTCCCAGGCCTCTGAAAGTAAAATAGGTCAGTAAATTATTACTCGCCTAGGCCTATTCGAGCGAGGTTTTTTTAGACGGTACGGCCCAGGCCAGGCCCAGTCTGTAGGATCATTCATAGGCCTAGCTATCCTAGGCCAGTATCAGCACTTTAAAACCTCCTATTGTAAATAAGTTGTATGAATAGAATGTGGATAAAGAAAGGGCCTAAACTAAACTAAAATAAAAATGAAACAGGCCTGTATTTTTAATAAAATGTATTTAATTCACTTCTTTTTTTGTTCTGTTCCAGGTTATAATACTGTAGGCCTATTCCTTTTTCTTCATGTTCTGTGGAGGAAAATGAACAAAACATAAATTTCATACATTCTTTTTGATGAATTACAAAAACATATTAAAGACAATCGTCAATAGACAGACCTAAATAAAACTTCAAAGTTGTGCGAATTTACAGGCCTTTCTTTACACAAATAGCAACTACCATACTTGAGAAAAAAAAATTGAGTATAAAAAATAATATGGCCTAACTAGGCCATAGTAATAATATGTTTGTGTTCTTTTGATAAATAATGTGTGTTTTGGATTTACAAATCAAAACATACCAATATTTTTCCATCATTTTTTGATTGATTGTGTTTTAACAATTAAATTTATTTACTAACATGGCCTATTAATATTCATGACTCTTTTATATCAGATTTGAAAGAATATTTGAAATTTTCCGGATATTAGGACTGACAGGTTATTTTTATGTAAGGCACTTTACAAAGAGTGGTGACTTTGATCTGGTGAGGCTGATGGGGGACGGGGGGGATTTGAAGGTGAAATAGGGTGGGGGGACGGGGATTGAGTGAGGTGACATTAGCTCACAAAATAAAGTGATTTTTAACTACTAGAGCATGATTGTTAGATTCAAACATTTTCCATGGAGGGGCGGGGGGGGGGAGTGGTGCCACTGGGGGCTGTGAGCTGTTTCAGAAACGTGCACACACCCTGGATACATGTACGCCACTGACGGACACCAGTATGGTAATCAAACGCATTCAAGGGTTCTGTTTTCTTTATCCCACAGCCTATTACTCATCTGTTCTCTTTAATGAAGAAAAAGGAATATTGTGTTTCCTGAACAAAGCTATCCGTCATGATGAGGCAAGTATGACAAACTGTACACATATTGAAAAAGATTAATTAGTAATCAGTAACAAAGTTACAAATTGCAAAATTTTAGCCACTGGATGACCATAACATGTCTTAAAACTTCTGTGCTCAGTCATGGATTAAGGCAAAAGGGTCATCCACTTTTACGGTACAAAGATTGCCTAAAAAGACCTTTGAGACATCTGTTGCAGACAGACCCTCATGGAGACACCAAGTTAAGGAATCTGCAAGTAACTTTGAGTCAGCCACTGCAAAGAGACATGACTCATGTGAAGAACGACATCAACAAGCAGCTGCACACAGACCTACAAACTTACTACGCTGTGAGATGTGTGGTAGACCCAGCACCCATGAAGTTGGATTCTATGTAAACGTGAAATTTGCTGACAAGGTCAGACACATGATACTCAGATTGAGTGATAGCCATTATTATTATGATAGCGAGTCAAGTGGTCGAGCGGTTAAGGCAGGGGCATCGTAACCATAGCCAACAATACCGGCATGGGTTCGTGGTAGGCTCAATCCAAGTTATGGTGGTGAAACAAGTCTTCTCGGATAAGGACTATAAACCAGGTGGGTCCAGTGTACACAATGCTCATGTGCCCTTTAAAGAACCCAGTACATCTTTGAACCGAGTAGGGTGTTTTCCCGGTGTATGGTCCTTCTCAGTTAGACAAAATGGAATGGAAAAAAAGCCAAGGCCAAGATGTAGATGGGATAAAACAATGAAATTTGGCATTTAGTTTGATGAAGAAGGCAACGAGGATTGCACAGAATAGACATTGGTATCGTGTTGCTATGAGAGAAGCTAAGCTCTGATGTGAGTGTACTATGACGACGACTGGTCCACTCGGCCCCTGTTGTGGAGTGATGAAAGTGCACTGGTTTACACCGGATGCAGAAGACATGAAATGACCCTCAGCAGAGAAAGCTAATGAAAATTGCAACATCTACAGTAGTCCACTGCGCTATTGATAAATGTTTATTATAAATGTGTGTTATGTTATTATTATTATTATTATATTATTAATATTTTCACAATGTATTTTTGTCTTATTAACATCCATTTAATCTCATTAAATTATGGAAGTGTCCCTATTAGTACTGTATAATTATAGTTTTGTTTTAATTTTATATTTGATAATTTTGAAATAATCCTGTTTACATACATATTTGCAGTTCTTAGAATGTAAGGTGGAATTACTGGAATTCTTGCTGAAGTTCTTAGAAAAGATCAGCAGTAGGATTGAACCATATGCCATAGCCATCAAGGATGTGTGCTTTGCCATCACATGCAGGGATGCCAAATCCAAGCCTAAAGTAAAGGCATTTGAACTGCTAATCAATGTAAGTAATTATCTAAATAAAGTTTAGAAAAGTAAATGTATGAATTATTTTAAAAAACTGAATTCCTTATCTTACTTTCTATACTTTAATATTGCCCATATATAGTTGTGATGTGTGTATATATGGTTATTTTACCTGTTATTATTATTAAAACTGAATTATTTTCACTTTCACTAATGCAATTTCTTTTCATTGTATGCTTGTTATTATTGTGATTTTAGTTACTGGAAATTGTTGGTAAAACCACTGTTCGGCCAGAACTCAAGGCTGATGCAATGATTAAGAGATTTTTTTCTGATCTGATGCAACCCATTAGTAAACTACCCCAATCAGGTAGGTTTCTAGTCTGGTCTGGTCTAGTCTAGTTCATTAATAATTTATTTGGTTTTTTGAATCTTAATAATGACATAATTAATGTCGTAATTAACGTTGAAATATTGAATTCCGACACGATGGCGTGCATTTCGATACTTGGAGTATGAATTATACTATCTTATCTGAGATTAATCAGTGGACCTTCGGTTTTCATTTGCTTATATAGAATATTTTTTTTTTTTAGCTAAGCAAATCAAAGTTTTTTTTCTTGATGTTTTTTGCTGGCAGAATATCTTTTAACATTATTTTTTATATCCTATACATTCTAAACAAATATATTTTGTATTTCATTAATAGTGAGACACAAACTCTATGAGATTTTGGGAGTTTTTGCTGCATTTTATCCGGAATTAATGGTTAACTATTCAGAGAAACTTTTGAAGATTTATCTGAGAGCTTTAAAGGAGCAGGTATGTGTCAGTAATATTGTCAAAAGCCAATATAATTTGTATACTGTATATCCAATGGGAGAATCAACTTCCAGGAAATTAGTTATTTGAGCTGCTTAATCTTATTTTCTGCACATGCTGCTATCTATGACCAGCTGACTGTTAATAACTTCTTAAATTTGTGGGAGATTTTTGCATGCTTGAGGGAGGTGGGAGGCTATATCTGTTTTCAGGAGACCCCAGCTGCTCACAGGAGACTTGAAACCCAATGTTTAGGCCGCCCGTCACCCCCAACCCCACCTCCAACCCCTAACCCCCTCCGTATTTTCAGTAGGAATGTAAAAAAAGAAGAAAGAAAAAGAAGTTATTGATCGCCCAAAATGCTTCAGAGGTTATTTCTAGGCATCTAGAAAACAAAAATTTCCCCCATGACTCCCTAGGGTAGTGTCTCTCGATTGCCACCTCCTTCCTCAATCTCTAGATCCCCCTAGACATTGTGTATCTCATGTCCATTTCATATATATTTACCCACAGTGCTTTTAATTGATGTGTTTTGTTTATATGACACCTCCCATCAGCTCTTTTGAATTGGAGAACTGCCTATCCTCTTTAAGTAATGAATAAATAAGGAATTGTCACTTGCACATACTTCAGTTATATTTTGCCTATTTGGAATGTCACATATGCATAATATGAAAATGAATACATTTTTTCTGTATTTTTTAAGATGACATCAACAACCAAAAAACCTGAGTTGACTGCCATTAGTGGATGCCTGACCGGACTGACTCATTTTCTGACAAGTTTTACTCAATCTTGTGAGGAAGGTATATTACACTTAAATATGTTTTTACATCCAAGTACATATCCAAGTACATAATGCAACAAATCATCATATAAATGAAATTTTGATGAATGATGACAGTAAACAAAATAGTAAGTAGAAAAAAAAAATACCAGATAACTAGCGCCAGGCTAGTTATCTGGAGGATGGTTTCTATTCTCATCTGAATCACTTGCGAATTTTTTCTCAAGTATCTGGGAATGTACTGAGTATTCGGTAAGAAAAAATGTCAGGTAGGGCAAAGCATCACTACTATGATATTTTCCTGATGCAAACGTACATCGAAATAGCATTTGCAGTACACGCTGCTACTAGGGATCTTATTCAACACTAGTCACCAAGTGCAAGCTTGGTAGTCTAGTGGTTATGGCACACCAAGGATAGCCCACGAAAGTCTAGAAGAAGACTTATTTCCAGTGGGGTCCTTCTGGTATTGATTAGGCAGTGTATTGCGTTCTTTAACGTGCACATGGGCCATAAATGCACATGGGACATAAATGCACATGGGACAACGGCTGAAACGTCTCATCCAAAAGACGCACTATTGTAACTTGTATTTTAGCCCTCCAGCTGAAACACAAGGAGAGACAGCGATGGGAGTTGAACCCGGGACCTTGAGATCTCCACGGTACAGCGCACATACGGTGGCTACCACCAGATAAGCTGACTGAGCTAAGCTGCTCTCTTGGCAGCTGCCAAGAATATAGGAATTTATGTATCGTGGGTGGAAAATGTGTATTTATATATGTTTGTACATTTATATGTATATATATGATATCTTGTCCAAGAGTCTGAACACTCGGATGAGATTTACAGATATGCCAAGATGAGCATCGATCCGACGGTTGATCTCCAGCGTTACCACATTCCAAAGGCCGGACTTCTTCTCTTTACCAAACATGCACCACAGTTTAATGAGTATCTCTACAGAGACCATGTAGTACGTATATCGCAACTTACACAAATTTTTCTTGAGTATCCTGTCTTATTAATTTTGAAATCTATTATTTTTAGTTAATAGAATATCTTTGTCTGATATAAAGAAATAACTTTGACTACGGTATGTTGTCCTTTTTAGAGTGAAATAGTCAGCACTGGAAAGAAAGTGTAGTGAATTTTTGCATTATTTATATCTGGATATGGTGATCTTTTTGTTCTATTGTTATAATTATGTATTTTATTTAGCCCTTTTTTTTTGTTATTCTCATTTTTGTTATATTAATTGTTATTAGTATCATTGTTATGTGTTACATTATTACATTTATCTATGTTCATTTTTTGCACTGATTTTTAAATGACCATTCTGTTATTTTACTTTTAAAAAATTTTTTATTTAAATTTATTTTTAATTTTCTTTTTATAGGAAATCTATGACAAAATTTTCAAGTGGACAAAGCATGGAAATCGTGACATGAGAAAAGCTGGATACAAGAGTCTGGATTCATTTTTAAAAGTCTTAGCAGACATGCTGGTTGAGAAGGCTAACAGTGGTGATGGAAAAGGAAGGGCTGTTTTTAAGGTTTGTTCACAGCCATACATTAACACCCAGTTCACATGAGACAAAAAGTAATGATAGACACAATACAGTGTGTGTTTATGTCACATCACGTCCATGTGAACACTCATCTGTGTAGCAGGAGTTGTGTAACATCCATTTGAAAAAAAAATTAGAGATCACAGAGGCATGTAATAGATTTGGCATGAGGATGCAGAACATTTTTGTCAATGTGTACTGTATTATACCTCTTAATGATACTTTGTGTGTAAAGTGTATTTAATTCAATTCAAATCTATTTTGCTGCAAATGGCTATTTTCCAACATTGTAATGAAAACATACACAAAAGTTGTGAAAGCGGTTTTGCTCAGCGGGAATGGTTTGGTTTCCAACCTCGAGGTCGGGGCTTCAATCCCTGGCTGTGCATTTCGCTTGTGTCCTTGAGCAAGACACTTTATCTGCATTGCTTCTCTTCACCCAGGAGTATAAATTGGTACATGGTGGTGTTGCCTGCTCTTGCGCTGATTACCAACAGCAACACTATGCATGTGGACCCAGTGACCAGGAAAAAGGACAGCGCTTTATAACTGCAAGGAAGAAGCGCATTATAAATGCCCGTACCAATACCAATACCAAAATTTACCTTGTTAACTTGGGGTGTCCTCTTCAGTGAAGGTTGACTACGATATCATTCCAAGCAGATCTATCTCTAGCTAGGTGGTGACCTATCTGCTGTGCTAATAACTTACCAGGATGTGATGTCATTTAAACTTTCTCTACTCTGCTTCCATTTTATTTTTCCCTCAAATATAGAAAAGAACATAAAAATGAATATAAAGAATATACATAAAATATAATTGAATTAACAGCACCAAAGAGGTTCACTAAATGAAACACACTCATTGCTAGAGATACACACAGGCACCATAAAACAATTTTTTTTCTAATTTTTCGCAGTGGTTCATTCAGAAGTTTAAAAGCATCATTGACGACCCTACTAGCGACAGTATGGACTTGGCCACAGGCGTAAGGGGCTATGGATTCTTCGCTGCTGTGAGTATTAAAATTAGTAACTAGAATACCACTTTTACCAATCAGTGGATCTAGAGAGAGAGAGAGAGAGAGAAAAGACTTGAATTTCGTTTCCTTTGGATATCACCCATGTGTACTGATATTCTATTAACCTGTTCGCTATTGATGCAACTCAGCAAAGATTTCCTTGTATTTTTAAATGGTTTCTTTGTATATTTTAAAGATATCCTTTCTAGTGTTTAAAGATTTTCTTTATATATTTTATTGCATATTATTTTTTTTAGCCCTGCAAGCTGCTTTTATCCAAAGAGGATGTACAGTTTATGTTCAGTGAAATGATCCAAAGAAGTGAACAGCTTTATTTACAGTGAGTTTTCAATATTATCAACAAATAATAAAAATGGTTATAGAATGCAAATCACTTTACATAATAGCACTATAAAGGCCTTTTAGACAGTTATATACTGCTTTATTCAACCTGACCCTGTGAAAACATTGGTGTAATGAAGGGACCTTTAAGGTCAGATTTCCTTGTTTTGCCCATAAGAACTTATAATATGTATCTTATAGTTATTGTATTTCTCATCATGACTATAGCAAATATTTATCTCTTTAGTGAATATGAAGCAATTTTGATTCAATTACTGTTTGTTTTCATAGATAAGAGCAGGTGTTCCTTGCCTAGCCTGTTAGAGCTTATAGGATGTATCTTATCTGTATTTGTAATCCTAGTAGCAAATATATTTCTCTCTAATCAATATAAATTAATTTTGAATCAATTAACTATTTCTTTTGGTAGACAAGAGCAGGTGTCGGATGAGAATGTCAGCCACTTGCCAAACTTCTTAGAGGCTCTTGCAAGCATAATTCAACAACTGGATCAGGTAAACTATACAGAGCCCTCATCTTTATTCATTGGGTTACCATTTTTAATATACAAACTGTTCTTGTCTCTCTTTTGCTACTGATTATTCGCAAATAGAATTATGAGTATGGTGACAAGACGTCAAGAATGAAAGCAAACAAACAAACTAACTAACAGAAATCAAAACAAAAGATAAATTCTGACCAATCAAAAAATGGTAGGCAGATCTGATAATGCGCGAGACAACATGATCTGCTGATAAACAAAATGATTATTGTTTTACAAAGGCCTAGTTAATACCTCGCTTAGATGAATAATGCTTTTTAGAGGCCATAGTTTGGACTGGGCTTGTATTTCTTATTGTTAAGGCTTCAGCAAATAGAATTTCTGCCCAGCCTAGTCTTTAACTATGGTTTAGACTACATCATACACTTTATGTTTGTCACATCATGGACTTTATTATGGCCACAAGTTTACCGATTTCATATAATTTTTGAAAAATTGATTTATCATACATGAGATTCGTAATATAAAAAATAGGATAGTATGTAACTGAGTATGCTAAATCAGTTCTGAAATTCTATAAAATCTGTAAACTTCTCCTTTAACAGCAGAGGGATTTAGCGATGATCGTTTACTGACGGTTACACGACCTAAATTGGGTATACATGGAAAACATTACAGTGCAATAGCATGGAAAAAGATAATGTTATGGTTGCGAAAAACAACCACCCACTGTTAACGTGAGAAGTAAAATGGCTAGGAAAGGCAATAGGATTGTTCAAAATAGTGTTTATTTATCCTAGCATTCTCCTTAGATTGTATGCTTTGAAATTTATAAACCTTCATAAACCTTAGCTGGCCCTAACATCGCAGCGTAGTTCACGGGTCAAAGACCATCATGCATACCTAACCATGCCGTAGATGTGCAGGGGCCTAGGCCTAACATTTGTCGAAAAATCTCAATGTTTGCGGCCAGTATTTACTGCATTAGCAAAATATTAAGGCAAAATTCTTGAGTTTAATTTCCAATCAATTTGGTATAGTTTACTGGGAATTATGATGATCTTTACAGCAATAAACAAAGGACGGCTGCGATAGAAATCTCCATGTAAAACACTGTTGCGTCAGTGAATTGTTTATATCCAACACCCAAGTTAGGTCATGTGACACCCATCGCTAAATCACTCTATTCTCTTTAATCTGAGCACACATTGCGTCATTGATGAATCTATCACTGCTCCCTGTAAAAGTTTGACAACACGCCGCCATCTGCTGAATGAATGTTGATGGCGGACTGAGCATATTGTCATTAAAAATTATCCATTGCACAAGCCTTGTTTTGTTGCATTTTACCTGGAATTTTATCGGCAGTGTGGGCCCTGCTTTTAAAATTCCTGCTTAAAAATGTTCATTATTTATATATTGTTGATTTTAAAAAATTATTTTCTAGCTTTCTGATTCCTTCATTTTGCCATTGGAGCATCTGTTTGCAGTGATGATCAACAGCTTCCCTCAAGTCCCATTCTACCAGCAGTTCCTGTGCTCAAAAGCTTTACTCAATGTTCTCATCACATTGGCACCAAAAGGATCAACACTCAAGGACTTCCTCTCAGTTATTGGTAAGCATGTCTACATTATGTTTTAGAACACCCCCAAAAAGTAATTGAGGTGTCGCTTTAGGGCATCGTATTTCCAGGTTAACCTACTGTGTTTTTGTCCTCATTCCTTTATCACTGTTAGAAAGACACAAGAAAAATTCATGCGATTCCCTGGCATGGACTGTTCTATTATTATTTTTGGTGAGTGTTTACTTGAATGGGAAATGACGAGTAATTTTAGTTGGTTTATCCAGCGGTATCTCATAGAGACTACTGTTAACAATGCAGATTGTGGAAGTATAACGACTGGCCAACCAACGGACTGACTTGGTTTTGGTTAGTTTAGTAAATGTTGATTTCTTGAGAAATCTGTAAGTTGTCATACTTAAAAATATTGATGTTAAGATCCTAAGTGGATAATAAGTAAATTTACATTTTTTTCCCTTTTTAAAAAAATTAGTGTATCAAGGACTTATAAAGACGATTTCTCACAGAGTTCATTTAGGTGTGGTAAGTATAAACAATAAATCTTGTATCTTGTATATTATACTATGAATATACTGCTTTATCTGTTTACGAAAGTGAACGATCTAGTTGAAAAAACTGACAAGTTTCTATGTTATTTTGATTGTAGCACAGCTTTATTGAAAATTGTTTTCATTCTTAACCATTTTTAAAAATCTTTTGTAATCTTTAAATGCATGTCAAATTTAGTATTCTCTTTATATATTCAAGAGTTTGTCTCCTTTGAATATATAGAGATACATTTAGCCATATATCTGTTTTTTTTTTTTATTAAACATGTAACAATGTATTTGATGCTGTGTTTTAAACTTCCTATATCTTCCTCTATCATTTTGTATGTGATGCTAGGCCCTATTGAAAAACAGAAGACAATTGATGGCTTTGTGAATATAAAAAATATTAATAGATTTTTACCCTGATATATAATATATAAATATAGTTCACTCCATGTGTGTTGAAAATTTAATAAATTCATCATTAAGAACCTGGATCAAGAGAATAGGCAAAGCACAGCTGAAGATGCTGAAGATATCCAGAGTGATGCACGCACCATCACGTTCAGGAACTACATCCAGCTGTGGCTGCAACTTCTTGACAGTCCTCTCATGAAGGTACTGTATTGTCTTTTTCTCATTTGTCTTTGATACACTATATTAGAGAAGAATTCCATGCATCAACAGTTCATAGTGTATGGCCTAAGTATTTAACCTTTTTTAGCTGGTGGCTAGTTTCAAACTGTTGAGACCAGTGATAGGCCAACATAATTGTCTACTTCCACATTTTTTTAGTGACAGCCCCACTCATTCTATTAGTGTTCCTAATTGCAGTCCTGTTTTACAATGTTGCCTTTGTTTTTCAACATCAACTATGATAGGCCATGTTTTGTGAAAATGAGGGAATACAGAAGCATGTAAGAGGGAAGGGTTGTGGAATAGAAAAAAAACTCTTCTACCCTACCACTAGAAATTTTCCGAGTAAAACAATCGACTCAAGTTCTAAGTAGGCTAGTTAAAAACAATGCCATTGTGGAGTTTCCCCGGCTCGGAGTCCGATATCCCTTAAAAATGGCCCACATTTACCTCAGCCACAACATGGTTGGGGCTGAGGCGAGCAGATTTTTAAAATAGACACCTCTAGATGCCTGGAAATGGCACTCAGACTGTTGAAACTGTTTTCAGCAGAATGACATGCCTCTAGTCTGTTTGCTCCCTGGAACAACCACTAGTCGTCGCCAATAGTTAAAAAACGCGGGATGGTTCTTGAATACCAGGGGTTTATAGTGATGATAACATTAATATTTATATGTTTTATGTTTTTTATGTTTTATGTTTCTTTATAATGAGACTTAGCTTAGTAGGGCATCATGTGTGTATATTTGTATTATATGACAGTTAATATGCAGTTACGCTATGCAGTTTTAATAAGTTATGACACAAAAAGAATATTGATACAAAGATAAAAATTAATTTGCGATTATAATTTGGACTGTTACTTTCTTCTATCTTATAGGAAGTTGACGCACTAGGTACAAATTATCAGGATCGATGCCAGATCCATGTAATGGTATATGAGGAGTTGTTACTGGCTGTACTTAAGGTTCTGCATAAATTGGACTTGACCTCAACAAAGAAACAAACATCGGAAGATGAAGTAATAATTTTTTGTTTTACTTTGATGCACAGTTATTGAATACAAATGATAATATCAGGAATAAATTTATTAAGTGTCATTTTGAAATTTATCTAAGGTGCGAGTTGGGTAAATATGGCAAAGTTGGTTAAAGTGATTTCTAAAATAAGTATGTCATAAAAAAGAAAGTATGTATATAAAAGAATGATGAATTTGCAAACAAGAAGTCCACTTAGACATTGAATTCACCATAATTGTCTCTAAAAGAAGGAACAGTCACAAGATGTGATAGGGATCATAAAGTTGACATTACAGTGTGTGCAAATAGAATGCAATTTTTTAAATGTCAACAAAACTAAACTTGAAAATGTTTCACTTTATATTCATCAGCACTTGCAGCAAATTAGTAGTACCAACATATAAATTGCAACATTTATTTATCTTTTTTGTTTGCAGTTGTTAGATGTAATGGCACAAATGCTGGACATATCATCAGATCCAATACACGGACTGCAACCCACAAATGCCAAAGACTTCCAAATATTTATCAATTTGGTGGAATTTTTTAGGTTGGTTTGGTATTAAAACTTCTTTTCTTTGTTATCATTCTCATAATCGTCATGCTCATCATATCAATCATCATAATCATTGATACCAACATCATCATCAACGTCATTATCACCATTTTCATTATAATCATAATCTCATCATCATCATCATGTAATTATAATCTTTATCATCACCACCTGCACCATCGTCATCCTCACAATTATATTTGTTGTTGTCATTGTCAGCATCTATATTGACAAATGATATTCATAATCTTAATATTTTTATTATTACTTCCAGTTTTCCTGTGTGATATAATATTTGATATAATGTAGAAATATTTACTTAATATTTAATTCAGTTTGCTCTTTGGTTTTCTTCTGTTTGTGAAGCTCTCGTGTTAATCACATTGTATTGTTTGTTTTTCTTATATTGGTTTTATATTATCACCATATTATTATCATAAGGCATCTTTGTCATTTATCATCTTAATCATTATCATCAATCATCCATATTATTATCGTAAACATTGTCATCATTTTTATTGTGTCTTGTAGAGAGCTTCTACCTCAGACCAAACCAGAATATTTTGAGCCATGGGTGTTGAAGTTCAGCCAGGAGGTCATAGTGATGTCAACTCAAAACCCACTCATCAGCGGCTTCTACAAACTTCTATCAGTTAGCATGACCGGGGCTAAAAAGATCTCTTATTTCGAGGTAAGGTTAAATGGGTCCTTCATTTTTTGGCTTAAATTTTTCAAAATTCCAGGGGCAGAAACATCTAAATAATTGTTAATAGTAATGGTTGTGCTTGCAACAAATTGTGGGATTGTCATGAAAATAATTTGGGATGATTTTTGTGCCTACTGCCCGAGGGGGTAGTAGATACATTTTTGTCGTCTGGCAGTTGACTTTGTTAGAGTAAATCTGGTGGAGGAATGATGGGATGGGTCATGGTTAAAAGATAAAAATGAAAAGCAAGTCTACGAAAATATGGTGCCATCCTAGATAAGACCTGTCTTAGTTACAGTTGTGTTGTCAATCGAATTGACAACAAAGATCGCTCCTAGATAAGACCTGTCCTAGAAAGTTCACTAAAAAGTCACAGCAATCTGGTATACACTAGGATAGTATAATACATTCTTTAAGTATCGAAATGCACACCATCGTGTCGGGATTTGACATGATGGCGTGCATTTCGATACTTGGAGTATGTATTATACTATCTTATCTGAGATTAATCAGTGAACCTTTTGGTTTCTGGTATATACTTGTAGAGGTATTCTAGTGAATTGAACACAGAAAGCATGGATGAGTTAAAGTAGCCAAAAAAAAAAAACATGCAGTAGACACATGTTCCCTCTAGGAGCCCATTTTTTTAGTATGGTGTAGTGCCGAATATAAATATATTGGTGTGGATGATAAAGTAATAATATACGTGCATTTTTGTTAGTTCTTTTTATTGCTTTATCCTCCAATAAGGATTGTTCTGAAGGGGATGAAGACAGCATGGATGTTGCTTACACACACATGGAATGTGTTTCGCAAAACGAGAGGCAGGTCAGCTTCACGTTGTTCACAAAGTTCACGTTGGAAGTATTAGTACGACTGAAGCTGTTTAAAGATGATCTGCTGGTTGCCTGCCTGCAATACATTCTTTCGCTGCCCCACGAAATCGTTGAAGATATTCTTGAAAAATTAATTCCTGCTATGAAGGTAAAACAACAACTTGAATAATTATGTTAGTAAGAATAATTATTAGAATTTGAAGTTCCTTTGATGGCTGAGAGGAACAATCTCGCTGAAAGCCACTATGTATCTGATCAAAAAAGAGAAAAATTATTATAGTTTTTTTTTTTTATTCGTTGTGTAAATTATGTACTTAACCTTCAGAAAACATTTAAAAATAGCCCAAGTTGCCTGGTTTTTCTAGGCACCAGAATGCTTAGGCTCTGTCTTTGCTGCATCCGGGGCTTTACCTTAGACTCGGTTTCCATTAAGAACTGCCAGATTCCTTGTTGAATGGCTCATATCACTGTCTAATAATACATCCTGGTACCACTAGCAATTAGCTCATGTGTAAATTGCTTTTTCTTGGATAGTACAGTAGAACCACTATTAAGGGGACACCTTTGGGACTTAAAAAAGTTCCCCCTTAATAGGGATGTTCCCTGAATAGGGCTATCCCTATTCAGGGGACACTAACCAAAAATGTGAAATTGTCCCCCTTTTTTTGTCATTTTTTCCTACTATTATGTTTTTACTGACGTAAGCATTGTTTACAGTAGGATTAAAACTAATTTAAAGCAATAATTTGCAATGCAAATACAATTCATTTATAATATAAAATCCACAGAAATGTAATTAAAACAACAATAATTTTGTATTTCACCAATATTATTTCATGATGCAATATTAATGACCATTTTTTTTTAAATTTTTTTTTATTTGGCTCTCTATTGGGAGGATGTAGCATTAAATAGTAAAGACTTAGAATTACTAGGAAGCATGTTGTGGTATGGATTAGAATACTATATAAAAGTACACAAAAAGCAAAGAAAGGATCAAAATTGTCATAATTGGTTTATACGAAGAACACATGCAGTAAACTTATACCGATATTCACAGTGGTGTAACGCCTATGCGCTCTCATGCGGCGGTTCGCAGGGCCCCCAAATTCTAGGGGCCCCGAAGGGGCCCTACCCATAAGTTCCTCGATCTACTGTGGCACCCTGACCAAAAAGGTCTTTGTTGATAATAGCACCATAATGCGTCTCTGTAATCTACTGTGGGGCATATGTCATTTTATAACGATTAAAGAGAGGGAGGGTACCCCGTCAGACCGACGGGGCCCTTCTCAGTCCGGAACCCCACCAAATTTGTCAAAAAAATTTAAAATGCAGATAAAAAAAATTATATTCACAATTTTAAGTCTTTTTTAAATTTTAAGTTTAAGTGAGTGCCATTTCCGGCCATCTAGACGTGCCATAATAATACATTTTCTTATCTCAGCCCCACCCACAAGGGCAACAACATAATTTGTGTCTGAAATCGACTGTAGGACATATCATATTATATCCAGTGGTGGAATAAAGAGTGGTGGGGAAGGGGCTGCCGGCCCAGGGCCCCAATAAATTTTTCAAAATATTTTTTAACTGGAGATAAAAAGAAAATTATATTCACAATTTTATGTCTGTGATGTGCCATTTCCGGCCATCTAAATGTGACATAATTCATAGATTTTCTTACCTCAGCCCCAACCATGGTGGGTCTGAAGTGGTATAGACTCTCCAACTGTGAAAGTCCCTCCCTGGCCTCAATTTTCTGGATCCATATTATATCATTTATTCGTTGTTAAAAACATTTAGAATAACAATGCACATCTAAAATATACACTCTAAGGATTCAGGGGAGAAAATTCTAATTTATTGCTCAAAAGGTGTCAAAATATAAAGTTAAATGAATTTTTCTTATTTTGAGACTGTTGTAGTTGTTGTGACCATTCGGTACACTCAGAAAGCGTCCGTATCCCCTTTATAAGGGTGTCCCCTGAATAGGGGTGCCCCATAGGGATTCTTGGTCATACAGAAGTGCATTGGTACAGACCGATACAGATTTAATAATATTTAACCTTTCTAGACAATCAGACATCTATTTATACTTAGAGACTTAACAGTTGAATTATGAATATTCTTTTTACCTATGTTAGATTACATTTCAACTTGGCCTGAGCTATTTGAGGATAGCTGAAGCAGGCTTGTCAGCCCTTACTACCTGGACCAGCAACATACCTCAAGATAAACTCAAACCAATGTATAATGAGGTATTACCTCTCTTTGATGATTACTTAAGAGCAACTAGTCTAAAAGGTAAACCTATAAATAATTATTAATTATGTTATATTAATACTATTTCATTATTATTTATTTTTATTGTTTTACTATAATAGTATAGACAAATAATATGAATGTCACTCCAAAAATTGACAAGGCCATTTTATTCAACGTTTCTTTTTTACTTATGCATCATCAAGAATAATACATAATACAACAAAGGGGCAAACTATATACAGTACAAGTTACCAGAAATCCTAATTAATAAACATTTATTTAAATGAGCAAATGTCCAATCAGAGTAAAGTAGGTATTATGGCGAGAAAGTATATTGGGAACAATTATTTCGGAGACAATTGTAGATTAGTGCAAGTTAATCTGTCTCTTTGTTGTATTATGTATTGTTTCTGATGATAAATCTTTTAAAAAAAAAAAAGGTGAAATGTTGAATAAAATGGCCTCGTCAATTTCTGGAGTGACATTAATATTATTTGTAATTAAACTTAGTGCACATCCTAATGCAAAGACAGATACAATTTGAAAAAGGTGCTCTCTATTAGTGCTGCCATTGCTGGGGGACCTTTTTGGTGTCCCCGCATGCATGTCATGTCTACATTCGATGGTGCAAATTATTTAGAGGAGATTACAATAATTCTCTTATCTTCATTTGTTGCAGATGATGCGTAAGAATCCCCCCCCCCCCCACTAGAAGCCCCCAGCTATGGCGTCTACAGAGGGAGAATAAACTTTGTAAATGGGTCTGTACTATACAATTCAATGTTTCGTTTCATTTCAGAAAATGAAACCGGGGTTACAGTGCAAGTATCCAGGACAGCAGGCCGTCGGGCTCCAACAAAAGCCAGTTTTACAAAGCCAAAGGAAATCTCTGGCCTGGTATGCTCTAAACAGTTATTCCTTGTCACTTTATTTTCATTGTTAGCACATTCACTTTTAACTGACAAAAAACACAACACAGACATATAACTTAAAATACAAACATAACTTGAAGAGAATTGGTCAATACGCAAAAGACAATCGTCTGAAAGACCAGGCAATCACTCTTGATTTAAGGTTTGTGAATAATTGTATTATTGATAATTAGAATGGATCATTTTTAATAAACATTTTTTTCTAGGCTGATGAATCACCTTTAAAGAAAGTTCAGCTGAGTATCTTGAAGTTCCTAGGCTCACTTGGAGGGCAGATGAATGCCTGTATGCTGAATTCTAACAGTGAAGAAATTGCTAAGGTAGCAGTCGCTTGGGACAGGGAGCCTAGGCTGCCATATCCGGTGCCTTTTTTTGACATAAAACCAACTATTAACCTAGGTAAAGTGTGCTTTAATATTACCTAAACTGATATGCAGTCAAATAGATATTTACTTCCTAATTTTTGATTATTATTTTTAATAGTTGATCATCAATTTTATTGTATTTTTTACAGATCTCTTCTTACCTAGGATTGTGGAATTAGCAGTAAGCTCAGGCAACAGACAAACTAAGGTTAGATAGTGTGATGTTAAAAACAAAAACACACTAAACAAATGCAGGCTCAGAGTATATGACTTAATGTTTCAGCCACTTGAATTGAATTTCTGTAGTGTCAGGCTCAACCCAGATGGAACAACTGGGGGACAGTTCCTTGTCTGAGCTAGTTTCATATTACAGACATATTCTATCCTTGTTTTTATAGGTCGCTGCTTGTGAATCATTACATACCATTGTCCTGTACATGTTAGGCCTTGGCAATCAGCAAACAGACCAACGCCAAGCAAAGGTAATTACCATAAACAGTTTGTATATTGGACACCGTGATAATACTCATTAGTTTCTTGTATGATTTACAATTTGCATACATTTTCCTTCTGTTTGTGATAAAATATTTTTAAGTAAAGTTATGTGTTCTGTCCTTTCGGCAATTAAGTCATCTCATACATTAAATGCATTTTCATTTCATAAAGCAAATGATGCAAAGTGGGGTGCTGCTTAAGTGGGAGATGTTTAAGCACCCATGAAAATACCTCTTAGGTATGCAATTGTTAATAATTATTAATATTTGGTACCTTTCTTGATAATTTTTTCATCGTTCAATTTATTTTTTACAGAGCCCAATGCAGAATCTTTACAAACGAGTATTCCCAGCTCTACTACGATTGGCTTGTGATGTGGAAGAGGTTGCTAAGCAACTATTTGAACCATTCGTAATGCAGCTAATCCATTGGTTCACAAACAACAGGAAGTTCGAGAGTGAGGAGACAATGTCGCTGCTTGGCGCCATCTTGGACGGTATTATTCATCCTACCAACACAGCCTTACGTGACTTCAGTGCTAAATGCGTGAAGGAATTCTTGAAGTGGTCGATCAAGCAGACAACAAAGTCCCAGCAGGAGAAATCGCCAATCAATACGAAGTCTCTTCTGAAACGTCTCTACAGCATGGCACTTCATCCCAACACCTTCAAAAGACTTGGTGCTGCACTGGCCTTCAACAATATTTACACAGTGTTTCGGTAAGGATCCACCAGTTTTTGTAACAAAAGTGGCAATTTAAATTGATTTATGGTCAGACCACAAGTCCTGTTTTTTTTTTGGAGTGGAATTTGCTATTGAAATGATATGCATGTTGAGTCATGATTTGTGGTCAAGTTGTTAGTTGTCAAATTGAATATTGGTTGAGCTGCAAGTTCATTCGATATTTGGTTGAGTCTATTATGGGATAACTTGTCTGAAACGAAATTTATCTTTATGGGATACCTTGAAAATAGTATGGAGGTTTTGCAACTTCACGAGAACGATAACAAATACGAATACGTCATTATCATTATCGTCATTTGTGCCTAACACATTCATGATAATTTGGTGTACGAGCTGAAAATAGGCCTTGATTCATGCAAAAGGCATGAATCGCTTATGCTGTGACAAATATGCTACTTTAGGGAAAGGGTTGTCTAAGAAATTGATGATGTAACCATATTCGTTTTCGTAAGCTTGCGAAAACTCCAAATGGAATCATTCATTTTTTGAATTGATGTTAAACATTTTAATACATGCACTGATGTTATACCTTTCATGTTTCTTTTAAATGTAGGGAGGAAGACTCACTGGTTGATATGTTTACATTTGAGATGTTAGTGGTGTATGTAAGAAGTCTAGCTTTGGCTCATCATGATGACAAGTCACTTGGTAAGAAAAACAACAAGTGATCATATATGTACACATGTATGATCTCATATTAACAGGACATGTTGTTTATATACTCCTCAGTAAAAATGTTCAATAACTGTTAATATAATTGTAATACATCTTAATGCAACAGGAACACAGGAGCAGGGCAGTGAAGTTTTGAAACATCTTGGACGAATAGTGAAGGAGAAGGCTGCTTTGTTTAACAAGACCAGCAAACTTCGGAGGTTACCCAGGTAAAGTACTTTGGTGCTACAAGTACATTGAAAAGGGTGTCTGCTTTCAAATCCCATACTTCTTTTGTTTCTTCTTGCTTTGTGCATGACATTTCTACTAAATAAAAATGCAAAACAGATGCGTCATTAGACCAATCTTCTGCGATTTGCAGGAATCTATTGGAAATCAGTACGATCAGTTAAGATCTCACTTTAGCGAATAATAGAAAATCTTTTAGAAACTATTCCTCCTTCAAAATAATGATGTTTACATGTTCAATCTGAATATGATTTATTTATTTTTTGTTTCAGAGGTTTTCCACAAGACATGTCACCTACCTTAAGTCACATGATCTTGTTCCTGCTAACTGAGTGCGGACGGCCACAAACAGAATGCCGTCATCAGTGTATGAATTTAGTAAGTCAGCTGACACCACTACAGCCAGGTAACACTATTCTGCATTGTTTTCTTTTTATCGTTCAAATTTTTTTTTTTAAAGTCAATACTAACATTTTTGTTTGTCATTCTAACCTAGCATGTGTGATGAGACTTTTTTTTATTAAATTTGAACACTGTTCATCTTTCAGCAGATATAGAAAGACATAATTTGTTTGATCAGATTTGTCTCAAACTGGCACACAGTATCAAAGTTTGATAAAACATTGTTTATAGGTCAGAACTTGATATTGTATGCAGTGGTCAAGGCTAAACTCCATTATCCCAAATGTCATATATTTTTTTGTCAATTTTTTTTTTCATTGCACTTTTAGTCATGACAATCCAAACTTTTTATATTTTTTGGAACAGGTGGCTGTAGGACTTCTGATTGGATGAAAAATACACTGAAAGAAAAAGGACCAGACTATTTCTGTTCCAGGTGAGTACAGTAGGCTTACTGATAGTGCAGATATTACTAGAATTATTCCACGATTATACTGCAGACAATGTATCCTCAGAAACTAAAAATGGTTTACAGACATACAGAAGATGCATTTAGCAAATGTCTAAAGTCAAAAAAGTTAAGATGTCCCTAATAAATATCTTAAGGTGATTTACTACCCAATCTTAGCAAAATCTTGGCTTAAAAATCGTCTCAAATGCTGCCAACGTACTTTCTACTTTCTAATTTTAAGCAATATGGATAAATTTGACTTAAGCAAAAAAATGGACTTGGACTGACTAAAAGAAAAACAATACTGCTGCTGCCACCTCCATGCTCCTGTTGAGTGGGTGCGCGGTAAGGCTGGGGCGCCGCTTCCTACAGCCTTAATATCGGCGCTGGTTCAAGCTGCTCCTCATCCAGTGTTCAATTGGTAGAAACCATTTTTTTTGGATAACTACTGGAAATGGAGGTCCAGTTAACACATCTGGCTCATGTGCACTTTAAAGAACCCGTTCATTATTTTTGGAAGAGTAGCGTGTTACCCTGATGCTATGGTTCATTTCAGCGCCTGTTGTGGAATGATGTGAACATGCAGCTACTATAAGCGCCTCTTTACAGCAGCTGGGTAATCGCGGACTACACCCATATGCAATTGAGCACAATGACTCTGCCAGTTATGGGTAATTTTACTGCCTTTACCTGTATCAAGTACCTTTTTCCCTCTTAATTTTTTAATTAATTCCATATGTTTTATAAATACTAAAACTGTTACTTTCTTCTGTTTTATTTTTATTTGACAGATTTGAAGGTGGTGGAGGAACAGGGTCAGCTGCTGTGGGTATCAGAAAATACCTAACACTCCCCTCCATGTCGAGTGCGTTTTCGTTAAAGATCAGCACACGGTGGTTTGATAATATTCTTGCTGCTTTGGACTGCTACTGCTGGTCATTTGGAGAACGCCTAGTTACTCCTAGTGACGTATTTACAAGTGAATACAAGTTTCATATTTTTATGTATTGCTTGATTTTTAGCGAAAGATTTATATTGGGTTAATTGGAGTGCCGCCATGCTATCGCGCTAGGCCAGCTAGACCTGAAACATCAAGCGAGTGACTGTGCGAGAGGTTATGATTTGTTTTCCTTGCTGTTTGCTGCGGTAGTTCTTCTGATTTTATTGATTAAATCGCTACAATTTGTGCGGCAATATATAGACCTAGTCGGCAAAACCGAATGCAAAATCATCTTCATTATCATCTTCACAGGATCATCCTGTTATCATCACTATGGGATCATCCTGTCATCATCACTATATCATAATTATCTTCAATATAAATATTTGTAATATTTTATTATCATAGGTAGGAGCAATACAGCTTTATTTGAATCCATGGAATTCTTCCTGCAAAAGCTAGCCATGTCAGACATCAACGCAGCTACTCGTCTATTCCGTACCAAAGCCTCAGACACATTTACTCCCAGAGAACACGAAGAATACAACTATGCTAAGTGTACCGTGACCGTGAGGGTGTTTGATTTCCTAATGATTCTGCTGAAAACATGCCCTAACGATATTCAAAAGGTAGGTAATTAGGCCAATAAAAAAAATTTTTTCTTGAAAAAGTCTTTCTTGTTTTGTCTGTCAGAGAGGATTAACTTGACCTCATAGGTCAGTTGGTCGAGCATTCAAAATGGCAAACAGAAAGTCTTAGGTTTGAATGGGAACAATAATTTGAAAAAAAGGGCTGTAAAATTTCCTTTTCCACCAGCTTTTAGATGTTCAAAAATTATTAAAATCTTATGAACAGTTCCTGATAATTTCTTGAAACATTCCTTCTGTATAATTTTTACAATGTTTCAAAATTTGCTTTTGCTCTGGAACCTAGCTTTAATTACTATTTAATGTTCATTTCTGCAGGTGTTGCCTGCTCGAATTCTGGATGAGCATCTGATTGGCTTAATTGTGTCATGTGTCTTAGAACCTTGCAGTGTTGGATTCAACATGGCCGACATAATGGTCATTAGTAATCTTCCAAAAACAGTAAGTATCCAATTGAGACATTTAGGCCATTTGTCCAGTGTGTATTAATGCCCATGTGCATATTTCAGAACACAGTGCACTCTTCTGAGAAGAATAGGCGATTTTCTTCCGGTGTACTGCTCAATTTTCCATCTGTAGAACACCACTGGAAGTAAGTCTTTGGATTTCTGTGGTTCATCCTTGGTGCATTCCACACAGGAGAAATCCAAATGTTGTAACACCCAGTCAGGTTTCCATTTAAGTGGGTAGACAACAGTAGAAGTAATGTGTCTTTCCAGGGATGCATCTATTAGTTGGGTATAAAGGGTAAATGTAAAGTAGGAGAATAACCCTTAACTTGCAGCGTCATTGTGCTGAATTGCATATGGGCGTGGTTTGTGATTACCTAGCTGCCATAAAGAAGCACTTATAGTAGCTGCATGTTCACATCATTCCACAATGACAGGGGCTGAAATGAACCATACCATCGGGGTAACTCCCTACTCTTCCGAAAGATGAAATGGGTTCTTTAAATTGCACACGAGCCACATGTGTACACTGGACGTCCGTTTTAAGTCCTTTCTACCAACCGAACCGTGGACGAGGAGTGGCTCGACAACAGTTGAGAACTGTAATTAACCATAGCATCGGGGTAATTTTCTACTGTTCCGAAAGATGCAATGTTTTTCTTTAAAGTGCACACGAGCCAGATATGTACATTGGACCTTCATTTTAAGTCCTACCAAACGAACCCAGGACGAGAAGCGGCTTGAATTAGTGCCAATGTTAACGCTGTAGTATATGATCTCATTATTTTTTTAAAACTATTTCTATTATCACTACAGACCAGCACTCTTTTGAATGAGTTGATGAACAGGGTTCCTCCTTTAAGAGGAAAGATAAAAAAATTTATCATAGAGAAGCTGGATGGAAATAGGTATGTCATGATTGTTTTGGTATTTAATAATTATCAGATATTTTTCAATATTCTAGATTGTATAGGTGCATTACATTAATAGTTATATATTATTTCTGGATCTTAAAATGAAATGCCATTAAATTTTTTTCTTCCTACCATTTTATTAAATCCTATTTGTTGTAGTTACATATTTTTTCTCTTATGCATGTTTTAACTGTCTTCAGAAATCTCAACATATTTCATCAACTTGATTCTTTATTTACGGACACAAACATGGATTTTACCAAGGTGCTGCATCTAATATCTGGTTTCAAACAGCTCCATCAAGCTGGACTACTGGTACCTGCTATTAGTAAGGTAACAACCAATCATCTTTATTACCCTCACCCTTAGAGTATTGCAATAGTGCACATCTGTGTGTCCTTTAATACGCATATAACTCAAAAACTACTAGAACGATTTACTTCAAATTTTCACACATTGACAATGTTACATGTATCTTGGTCCTCAAATTTGGTGCTAATTTAAAGTAAACTGCAGATTTTAGAATGTTATTTATGTATTTTCTGGCCACAACAGACAGCCAAATGGCCTGGCCTGGTTTGGCTAGGCCTGAGCCAACCACAGGCCATTATTTTTTTCAGTACATAGATATGGCACAACAGGGTGATGGCTTGTAATCTCAAATTATCTTGTTGATAATTGAACAAAAATATTTTTTTAGACAAGACACCCAATTTCATAAGTAATTTTCATCTTAAATTTCATATTTTTTCACAATTCTAATTTTTCTTGTTCCTGTTTTTTGTTGTTTTAATTCTTTTGTCTTGACTCTGGGTAAAAGAATGCATAGAGACATTGCACTGTATAATGCCCTATAGAAAAGACTCTTACCATTACCTTAACCCTTTGCACTAATTAATCATAATATTCAATCAGATAATGATAATTATTTTTGGTTCACAGGAAGGAGTTCCTTCACAAATGGATCTTGCTAACCAATTACTCAACTGTGTTTTCAACTCACTTTTCATTACTCAAGAAGGATGTCTAGTAACCAGGAAACCAAGTCCAATGTCATTAGATCTTGGACAACAATTGTTGAAGCTGGCATTTTCTATTGGAATCCAGGTACAATAAATAAATGAAATTTTCAATATGTGATGTTTAATTATGCACATGCATATTATGAAATGGAAGGAGTAAAGAGCAAGTTATGATTTCATTCTTAGCAGATATGGGATGAAATAGTCCTAGGCTAGGCCAGGCCGGGCCGGGCTAGGCTAGGCCAGGACGGCCATAAGTTTATAAAAATCAACAATATATTCAAACTTAAGCCTCTTTATTTTATATTTCTTTCATTTAATTTTTAAGAATAACATGACACTGTGTCTTCCTTTTCGGCCTTTCAATTTTATTGACTGACTGACTGACAATTTTATTGACAACACATATGCACAATGTGCAGGAGTGATGTCATCACGTAAAATGTGCCCCAAGCATTTACCACCTACATTTTGTCAATACGATTTGTCAGTGGATATGACATTGTTGCTAAGGTTCCACAAAACGACAGTGCGTTTGTGAGACGCGTGTTTGTATGACATGCACGTATTCCTTGCCTGGTTCCTAATGGTCAGTTGTTAAGTATGATTGACACTCAGGTCCATTCAAATGAAAGTTATGCTTCAAGAATACAGAGGGCAGCAGACATGTTTAACCATAGCTAGCAACAGTTAGCTGCTTTGAGATCCGACTTATCCAATTCTGTACATAATGCCATGGTGTCTTTAGTTGATGTAGAGTGATTTGTGTACCTTGCAATTCTCTCTGTTTCTTATCCTTCCTTACTTAATCATTCCACTATCCCCTGCAGAAAGACTGCATCTCCATTCCTTACGTAGTTGTCATAATATATCCAAAATACATCTTATTTTATCAGACAAAGCTTTTGCTCAGTTATCTGAGGAACAAAGACCGAGTGGTGAGCAGCTTAAACACTTCAAAGAACTCATCTGTTCGCAAAGGCGCTGTGTTCTTCACCACCTTCAAATCCACTATCATCCACCAGTTTTTGAAGCAAGTAAATGAAGCAACGATGATGCTAATGCAGGACCTTGAAGATGATCCACAACAAACTTGCAACATTATGGGTAATATATTGCAGACTATCATCAACGACAAGCAACTCAGAAAAAAGTGAGTTAACATTTTGTTTGGCGGCTCAAAATTACGCAGTACACTGGGAGACAATTTCTTACTTTTTCACCCAAAGAGTGTACTGTGTTCTGTTACATAAAAATTCCTCCAATCATAAGGTCCTGGGTCTATTTTGTGAGTACTTACCTGAATGAACTGAAATATGCCATTTTCCTTTTAGGAACTTACCTTGAAAATAATGGAATCGTCCAACCTAGGCATATATAATGCAACAATGTTATGTAGGCCTCTTTTCCTTTCACACTCAAAATGGGTGTTTCTTTAGTATGTTACTAGACTTTTACTATACAATACCACTTTCTAATTTCACGCACTTGCAGATACGGTACTGGTGTTGTGAATGCAGTTTTGTCCAATTGGAACAAACTTCGGCCGTGGTGGATTGAGGGCAGCAGTCAAGACATGAAGGCTTCTTGTCTGCTCTTGTTGAAGAGTTTGCTACAGATAGATTCAAAGGTATTAAGTGAACAATGAATATTATTGTTGTATAAAATACAAGCAGCCATAGAGGGGGTACTGCTGCTGCTTTATTATGTAAGAGGATCAACAGCTATATGTTCCATTCAGAGGATGACTTAATTTGAGTGAGGTGTTTCCAGAGACCATCAAATAGTGTTAAAGGAAAAAAACTAATTGGCACGAATATTAAGAGGATATATGATAATCTGTTTTATTTTACGGCATATTAGATATCTTCAAAGAATAGTACAATGTGCACTTCTTATTGGCCCATGCTCTAATTTGTAGCTGTTTTCCGAGTTTTTAATTAGCATTTTAGATGTTTATTGTAGTTTTTTACGGCATGTAATAAACTTAGATGTATTATAGATTACATGCTTTAAACAAAATTGAAAGTTTAACGTTTCCAGGAGAGAATTTAGAAATAACTAATCTGAAAAGAATTTCCTATAACAATGTTAGAAACGAAATTGTTTATTACTTTCGTCTATATCGTTTTAACAGTTTGCCTCTGACTGTCAACATCCATCATTCAAAATCATCTTCAAAATGTACACAGGATTTCTTCTTGACCGGAAGTCACCTTTGACCTTCAAAGCACAAGTGTTGGAAGTCCTGTATTTTTTTACGCAAGTGACAGAACCACAACTCACAGAGTTGAAGTGAGTAGTTTTTTTTAATCTTTTAATATTTTAGCTACCCAGATACCTTCATCTGCTCACATTAAACTGTTCCTACTTAAATTATTTTCTGTTTTTTTCAGAGAATGTCTTGATGAATTTGTTACTTACAACTTCCCACTAACTTCAACAGAATTTAAAGTAGGTACTTCTCAGTACAATGATTATATCACAGCTTTTAATAAGGTGAGTATCATTTTTTTATTATTAATTCTTTATTGTTATTTGCTTTTTCTCAGTTGGCCTATATTATTTCTCTGTAAAGCATAAAGGGACAATGTGCAATATGTGCTATATAAATTATTACATTACATTATTACTGGTTATTATTATTATCATTATTACATTATTATTATTATTATTATTAATGGTATATAATAATAATAATAATTCTGGATTTATATAGCGCCTCACGTTGACAAAACCTCGAGGCGCTTAACAACAACAGAAAAGAAAAAAAAAAATATAAGTGTAGAGACTGCACCTGTTTGATAATTGAAAATGATATACCTACCATGGAGAAATACATTTTAGAACCACATACCAACCCATACAAAGACTGGACGAGAAAACTCGCACTCAGCAGAGACAATAAAAAATGCTGTTCCAGTGCTGGTGATGAGTTTACTCGTCCCCTAATATTTTTGCGCCGATTTCATTTTGATTTTAGAATTTCAAAAAAGTATGTGTTCTGGCCCATGGGAAGGAACCTAAAAAAGAAGTCTGGCAGTCAACGTGTTAACTTTTATTGTAATATTTATTTTTTACATTTGTACCAACAGCTTTTGACGGCTCTTGTGTTTTCCGGGTCAATGATTTTGCTGGAAGTTATAATAAGCGTTGTCTGTCGTGAGGCAAAGCACGTCCATGAAAATAGTATCCAGGACACGTTTGCTGCATTTATCAAACGGTCAGTAACAATGATAAAAATCATCAAAATTTGAGCTGAGTTTTAAAATGATTTGTTTGTTGATTAATGCTACATTCATCAAAACCTTACAAAAATTAACATCATCTTAAATTGTTAATGCTTTTAATCATTTACAGACTACAGCCAGATGAGCAGCAAAAAGCATGCAATGTGTCATTTGAAATATTCCTAAAGGAATCAAGTTTTCCAAAGGAAATGCGCCGGGCAACCATTGAGCGTGTCTGCATCCCCATGCTGAGGCTATCTAGTGCCGTTGCTGTGAAAGCGTTTTTTAAGTCCCACATCAAGAAGATGATGTCGATCATTGAAGCAAAACAGACAAAGGTAAGAATGTGAATTGTTAGGATACTTACTTATGCGGGTGAAATTCCCGGCCCACAATGTCTTTCCAGAGGCTTCCGTCATTCACTGCAGTCTTGAGGTAATCTGCTTCCAGTCCTACAATCACAAGCAACAAATGTAAGATTTTTAATCCTTATGGTACATACTTAGGCAGATAAAATTCCTAAACCACAATGGCTTTTTGGAGGTTTCCATCATTCATAGCAGTCTTGAGGTCCTCTGCTTTCAGTCCTACAATCACAAGCAACAAAGGTAAGATTTTGAATTGTTATGGTACTTACTTAGGGGGGGATAGAATTCCTAAACCAGAGTGGCTTTCCGGAGGTTTCCATCATTCATAGCAGTCTTGAGGTCCTCTGCTTCCAGCCCAGTGTCTACTTTAAAGATGTCAGTATATGTGAATGCAGGTCTTCCTGGTTTTTCTCCTTCCATTCTTTTTGGTGTCCAGTGGCTAAACTTGGATGCTGGTTCCTCGCTCCTGGAAGAATGACCAGCAAATCATGTTCTTCTTGCCCTGATCTAATGACCTAATCATGGTAGGTAGGTATGTACAGGTATTGTAAATAAATGTTGTGATTTTACTAAGGTTAATTTCAGCGTTCGATTTAATCGGAATTGCATTGCGAAACGCGACGCAATTTACACTAATTGTGAAGCACTTCCACAGATGCATCACAATAAAATGTAATGCAATAATTTGCCTAGAATTAACCGCTCAGTCTTCAGCAAGGCCTGACTGAAAAAACTAAGAGGACTTGGTGCACAAAAAAGCCCCAAAAATTGTTTTAAAATTAATCAAAGTCAAGTTGTTATTCATTGTTTTGGGTCAAAAATAACGCAATATGCAATTGTTTACATTGTGTGCACACATACAATGCCACATTTTATAACATGAGCCAGTGTTTTACTTAAATACTTTTAGTGTTGGAAAATAAAGAGGCATCACTGTGATTTTCTTATTGAAAAGTGTCATTTCTTTTCTTTAATAATCATTTATTATCACCGCAGAAAAAAGTGCTATGCACAATTTTGGAATTGCTACACAAAACCAAAAGTGCATAGCAGTTTTTACTACAAACAAAAAATGCTGGAAATCGAACTCTGGTTATTTTATGCCTCATTTTGGATGGTCAACTTGTCCCCAACTGTGCAGGCAGAATGTTTTGAACATATAAGTTGTAACTGTGTTGGAGTTTCTTTAACAGGTCTTTTTGTATTTCTTGTCTGGTACCCAACGGAAGACTTTGAAGTCAACATGTCTCCAAGCTCTGCTGGTAGAATGTATTTTTTATAGAAGTTGTGATTGTTATTAAGTTTCATTATTGCATCTTTTTATATTCCTTTTCTAGTACCCAGAGGCGACCTTTGAGGTCCAACTCGTCTCCAAGATCTGCTCTTTCCAACTAGTTGAGATCATGTACTCACGTCTAACCAAGGAAGAATTACGGTCACCAGGCTCGGAGATCAATAGAGCCTTCTGCGAATTAGCAGACAACAAGGGTGATGAGCTTACCAAAGCCATCTCCAAGTATGTATTATAAAAATACTGATTTTTATAACAGTAGGTGGAGCTGTATTAGTCAGGAAACTATATGAAATGAAACGTTTCTAGTACTTTATTGACAACTTTACATAATTTATTATGCAAGCTTTTGCCAGCAGTGTATTATATATGGTGAGTCAAATGTCCGAGCCATTAATGCAGGGGCGGCGCAACGTACAGTCTCATTATTGGCGCTAGTTAAAACAGCATGCTCGCTTACGTTCTGGTGGTGGAACAAGTCTTCTTGGATACAGACTATAAACTGTAGGCCCTGTGTACACTATTTGGCTCACATATACTTTAAAGAACCCAGTACATCTTTTGAGATGAGTAGAGTGTTACCGTGGTTCACTGGTCCATTCATCCCCTGTTGTGTACAGGCGAGAGTAGCTGGTACGAGTTTACCAGGTAACACAGACACCAACAGACACATAGTGGAGAAGCAAGTTACTATACGAGCTAGTCCATACCTCAAGCGCTTTGAGATATCAGTGTAAAGCACTATATTAATCCAACTACATTACATTTAATACAATTAATAAATTTCAATTAAAAATTCATTTTGGGAGCGAGGGTATCAAGGAGCTGTGTGTCTTTGATGTTGAGAAATTTTATTCTTTTATTTTAAAATGTTTTTTATTTTACAATCATTTTTTATGGACATAATAGTTAATCATGTATGCATACATTTATAATGATTTGAAAATGCTATTTTTTTTTTTAAGAGTTGGCCGTACAGTGATGGTTGAAGATGTTCGTGGTGAAACAGTTGCCATGGAGCTGAGACGGCAGCTTCATTGTATGGCCTACAATACCATGATGGCTGTGATTTGCTGTACTCAGACTGAATTGAAATTTTACAATGTTTTCTTGTTCAGTGACAACACTGCTAAGGTAAACAATCAACTACTGGGTTGACTCAGTATGTTGAAAAATTTGTAGTCTGAACCAGCCTAGGTTGACTTACTCATGCCTGGCTTGAAATTGCTCTCAACCCAGGCAGCCCAACCCAGGCAAGGTATCCATGTTGACCTAGAATTGCAAGGTGTGACCAATCATAGCTGGCAATACAATGTTTATGCTCAAAGATTTCTACAATCTGAATTAGATCAACCAAGGTAAATGTTGTCACTGGAAATTTTCATTCAAGGCATGAGATCTCAACCGTACTGAGACGACCCAAGCTTGAAGTTCTAGTATGATATTGGAAGACGAGCATAATTTGCAAACTATAGCTTAAATTATTGCCTTTATTTTCCGAGGCAGGGGAGGCACTATTGGGGGTCCAGGGCGAAAAGGACCCCCGTTTTGGACCTCTGGCTTTGCTGTGGAGAAAATATAAGACATAATTTAAATTTCTCAAATGTGTGACCTACTGTATTAGATCAATCTACTTGTTGCCTTTCTCTTCAAATGACATCTTGCCTGACATTTCATCTCCAGGGTCAGTTTTTGTTGGAGAATATCATTGATGCACGAAGACAATACACATTTGAAATTGAATTCGATGCTCAGCCGGAAAGGAAGAAGCGATACATCGCAATACGAAATCAAGCAAGACAGGCTGCGAACAATGGACAAGAAGGGGCTGAAGGTAAGGGGGAATTGGTGGTGTGTATGTGTCTGATGATCCATTGAGATCTTTATGTCCCTGTTTCAAATCAAGTGCTGATCTTCTCTTTGAGCTACCGGGGGACAATCCCCAGAGTATGCTGCCGGGCTGGGAAAAGTGCGCGACCGGCGGTTTGGGGTAACATGAATGTACTTGAGGCATTTTAGGGGGAAAAATTAAAAATAATTAACTGTTGGGCTACCTAGTGTACAGATAACATTTCGTGCTGGAGGCATTGTATCCAGACACTTTTTCATGGTCGGAGACACAAATATTTTTTTCCAGGCCTGCCGTGCTGCCTTCTTTAGCATGCAAATGAGCCATGTTGCACAAAAGACCAATGCCTTAAACATCTTTTTCTCCACTAGACATGTATATGGTATAAATTCAACATCCAGATTTTTTCCTCCACTCTTTCTCCAAGCTTTGTAATGATATTTAATTTATAGAAATTATGAAAGCAAATGACAAAATGGTGTATATTTAGAATGAACAAGACACAAGATCTTGATCCTAATTTATTGATTGCTGTGTTTTAGAGTCCATTCACTACCTGTCATCCCAGTACTTAGCTGACAGTAGTCTTAGTGAAGACATCCACAGGTTTGATTTCACCGGTTCAAGGCAGTTTACACCAAGCGTCGATAGTATGTCCCAAGCAGACGATGCAAAAAATTCATCCAATCAGGAAGCTGTATCAGAGGTATTCATTACATGCCAAGAGAAAAATGATAAATGAATATGTTATTAATTGAAAATATTTATTAGTATTTATTGATGAAAATGATTATTGATAAGAATTTATAAATAGATATTTTACCATTGAGATTACATATAATTTACTTATGGTAAATAATTGTGGGTAATGATTGTTCAAAATGTTTTATCCAATCAGAATCAGCCTTCAGCCATGGTGTATGGTGATTCGGTGGTAATGGAAGATGATGCTCTTAACCAGCACGAGTGTATGGCATCGCTCGTTGGCCTGTTGAACCACATGAAAGCAAACATCACACCTCAACAAGCCACACAGGTTAGGAAAAACATAGTTGATACTTTATTGAAAAGCAATTCCAATATTACAGTAAAACGTCCATTTTACGAACGTCGATTTTATGAATAGTTGATTTTACATTTATAGTCGATTTTAGAGTAGTCGAGAAGTCGACAAATAGTCGATCTCTAGCGCGATAGACCACGCTGCTGCACTGTCGGTTAGTACTAGGTCTGGCCGCCGTCAGCCTATCGGCGCTCAATGGCAGGCGATAGCTAGGCCTAGGTATTGGAAACTGACACCCGATTTAGTTTATAAATTTTTCAATTTACCAAGGGGTAATGTAAAATGGACGTTTTACTGTAGTTTACTTATAGAATAACAATTACTGTTGTAATCACATATGTAGTCATGATATGGCTATATATGGTCATGTTGCGATGTCTTCATGACCATATTTGACCAAGACCATCGTACTGTCGCTAAATGTTAAACCGATTAATTAGCATAAGAATGTGACAGTACTGTATAGAGAAGCCGTAATACTTTTACGCATAACTTTTGCAGAAGTCAGTTGATTTCAGTAAATGTCCCTATCATTTTAAAGCTTATAAGGTGGAGAATATGAATATGTTTAAAAAAAAGGTCAATTTTACTCTATTGGTCACTGATGATGGTCTTGGCATGGCAAGCCCCATATTTAAACATTTTATTCATACTGTCAATTTCAATCATTCAACCCTTAAATTAACCAATAAATGATCTTAAAACTGCGTGTTCGTTAGGGAAATCAAAGCATTGGGTGCTGGGGTGGATGCATCTAATTTAATTGTAATAGGAAAAATAATTGTTGTATTGTTGATATATTATTTCTATCATTAAAAAATATAGTACTGGTAAGATTTTAAAAGTATGAGAGTGCAATTTCCTAGCACCTTGAAGTCCATATTCTCAGAATTTTCTCACCTCAGGCCAAACCACGGTGGGGTTGAGATTTCTCACACACCTCCAACCGCCAAATCCTGCATCCGCCACAGAGGGAGTGGGGGACACCAAGAAAGTTCCCAGTAATTGTACCCTTTCAAGAACTCCCAATTGGATTTGTTGATATTTAGAAACATCATTCAAACTATCGATGTCAGTCAATCAACCAGTTAATGATCTTGAATCTGCTTGTCTTTTAGGGAAGTCAAAGCAGCAGTATGCCAGCGTGGATGGCATGGTTGCACCAGAAGGCAATGAAATCAAGTGATCTTGGAACCAAGTTGTTTATAGCAAGACTCATTGTCAATATACCAGAGGTATGACATAGAATCGTTTAACCATTGCAGTTTGTGCGACTATGATCAGATCTGAAGCTGCAGGCGTTTTACTAAAAGACTCACAAAGTCCAAAATTTGATAAAATGCATCTGCAACATTAGATAGCTTTTAATTAGGTTGGGTGGGGGGCACGCATGCCCCAAAAAATCATGTTCAACTGATCATCTTGCCCTCCCACTTCACCTTCGTGCCCCCATCAGCCCTCCAATTCAAGACATCTAGATACGCCACTGATTATTAGGCTGTTTCATAACATATGATATTTTTTCAGTTAATATTGTATGCTATCTTTAATTTCTTTACCAATAGATCTTTCAGCCGTATGCCCAACATTGGTTTGCCCCCTTGATCAGTATAATAGTTGGGGGAAGCAGTGCTGGGGAAGGCATTCACAGCATGGTTGTCGATATCATGGTCGTTATGCTTCAGTGGACACCAGTTGCCATTCCACAGGTAAAAATGTATAGAATGATAATCTATTATTTAATTATGAATCATTGTAAGCTTTTTTTTTAGTACAAAATATGTACAACATAAAACAATTGCTATTCTACAAATAAAGAAAAGCAACAAAATGAAATTTCAATTCTAACTCAATCGTTTATTTTAATAGGAGAGAGTAATTGCTAATCGCTTGGTGGAGTTCTTGATGAATCACAGTTACCATCCAACAAAGCAGGTTCTAAGACGCAATCTTGACCTCATTAAGACCACGATAGAATGCTGGAAGTCTGTTCTCAACATATCCACAAGGTACATACAAAAATATCTTTAATTGTGATGTATAACAAGATATATACACAATTTTATTTCAGTTTCTCTGATTCAAGTAGTCATATAGAATATAAAATGTTTTTATTCAAATAATTTTAATATTTTATTTTCTAGGTTTTTTTTATTGAATTCTTTTTGAATTTTTATATTTTAGTGTGATAATGGAGAAATTTTCTGTAGGGAACCGTGACGATAGCAGAAGGTCTGTTGGAATCCAACTTCTTGGATTGGTGTTGGCTAACAATCTCCCACCAATAAGCCCGTCATCAGATGTAGATGAAGATGCGTACGTTAATTATATAACATTATTTCATTTCTTAGCACCTTTTGCTGAGAACAGCCCCAAATCTGTTCGAAATATAGTAAATATTAGTGGCCTGATTTTTCTCAACTACAATTCGAGATCTCTAATTCCGAGACCACTCTAATTCGAGATCACTTTTCCAAAGACCCAAATAACAATCTTCAACCTTTTAACGCAAAGCTAGCCCTCTAATTGGAGACCAACTCCGAGACCACCCCAAATTTTCAGGTCCCAAAGTGGGAACTGTATTTTATCTGAATAAATAAATAAAATATATGTATTGTGTGAAAAATTATGTTAGTATACTTGAGCACCTGTGAGTTATGAATAGGCCGGCCCTGTACCTCAAATTGCCTGTAAATGGTGCGGTGATGTGTGGGATTTCTTTTATTCTCAATGTGGCCATGTTTACATAAGGTGATATGCTCGGCTCCAATAGTTTCTACCTTTGACCTGTGCCACAGGTTCCGCTACTGTGCACCACTGAGGCAGTGACCCAAACCCAAGAAAGGGAATCATTTGAAAATCAAAAATATCTGCGAAAACAATCTATTCAAGAAAATAAGAATTTATATAATTTTTTTAAATAGGTTTTACAGAAAGTTGGCCAGCAATCTGTGTTGCAAGTACAAAGAAGTGTACGCGCCGACGGCCGAAGTAATTGGAATGATAATGAAACGAATGAAGGACCAAGACAAATTAACAGATGGGATGATCCACCAGTATACGCAGTCTGAGTTGATGGGCCTACATGCTTCAAAGAAGAGTGTTTTCATCATTTGTCTCGACAAGATTTGTCTTCATTACCCACTGTTCGCTGATAAGTAAGTGAGATGGGTTGTTTGTGATGGTAAGGCAGTGGCTTATCTAGGTGGTTCGCCCTAGTCGCCCCCGCCCCCATTAAAAATGTCTAAAGCAAAAAAAACTTGCTCCAGTTGTTGAAAATCACCTCATATCACCTTATTTTGCAACCTAGCGTCCCTCACTTAATAATTGGGCCCCCCCCCAACTAAACCTTCGTGTCCCCCTTTCAATACTCCTAGAGTGGATACACCACTGTGCTGAGGCAATATGTCAAGTGGCAGCCGTAGAAAGGCACTTATAGTTTCATGCTCGCATCATTCCACAACAATGACAGGCTGAAATGAGCCATAGCGTCAGTTAACCCCCTACTTTATGACAAGTGAGTTCTTTAAAGTGCACATGAGCCAGATGTATACACTGGACCTTAATTTTAAGTCTTTATCCACTTGGCTGTAGCAACTAAACTTTGGACGAGGAGCATCTCGTACCAGCGCCAGTGATGGTTTAGTGACTCCCCTGTCTTCAAATCAACCACTCAACTTGCCCAATATTCCAGAAAAACTGGATTGTTGAAATCAAATTAAATTGTAAAATGAATGTCTAATTTCTATTTGTTTATGTGTATTTTATCAGATAATTAAAACTTTGTTTTTTTTTTACATTTATTGTTAGGTTCATCAATAAAGTGATATTTGATGTTCCGTCTTTACATGGGCAACCAAAGACCCAATGTGTTGACATCCTTGTGACCAGGATTGACACAATTGAAAATGTGTTTATCGTGATGAAAAATATAGGAATAGATGATCTTCTGACGCACAGGTAAAGCAAAGTACCTATTGTGAAAACAGCTTGTTAAAAGCAAATGAAATGACATTAATTATCTAATTATCAAATTTAATGCATATAAGCTTGTCCATCATTACAGAGGTGATGCTAGCGGGGGGATGGGGGGAAAGTGCCCCTTTCAGTTAGGCAAGAACTTCCCTGTCATCCGATGCCACGACGAGGTCTTGGATCAAAAATAAAAACAGAATAATGTGCCTATCCAAATAACGTTATTTTGATTGCCAATCCTTTTTACTTTTTGTGTTATCTTAAAGAGATGAGGCTCAGCAGGTGGCTGCCTTGAAGCTTGTAAACGGCGCTTTGAAAGTTCTAAAGGCTAAAGAACTGCACTGTCTGCTTCCCTCTATCGTCAGTTTTGTGAGCAACCCAAGCGCAGCCTGTAGAGAAGTCATGTTTGATATTCTCATGTGGATATTTGATAACTACAGGTAAGTATATCTCTGTCTGTTTTCGGAGTTAATGTCTTTTTGTTTCAATTGATTAGACAGTCAGTCAGTGAGAGAGAGAGCAGGTAAACTGGTGGCTATAGCTTGTGTGCGTGCGCACTAAACCATTGAGAGATCCTTGTCGGTTCCTGTTTCAATTTTATATTTTGTTTGTAGCCAAAGAACTAAGTGAAAGTTGCTATTTGTTCACATTTTTACAGTAGAGGTAGACGTGTTTTCTCTAAAAATAAACTCTTCTTGGTTTTCTGTCAATTATTATTGTGTAAATGACCTAACATAACTGATCTTCATAAACATTGAGACAAGACCTTTGGAAATAAACTCACAAAAACGTCTTTTAGACTACTGAGCTATGCTGGTGTCATAAATAGAAATACAGTACGTTCTACAATAATTTCCTAGTACAGTCATACATGTTTTTTATACATTTAAAATGTAGAGTTGCAAATTAAATTTTTTTTTTTTTTTTTCAGAGACGAAGCTATGTTATTAACAGATGAAGGGGCAAAGGAGGTATTGGAGATGGCTAGAATTGCTCTCCTGCAGGGACTGACAGATGAAGAGCCAGCCCTCAGGTAAGTCTATGGTCATCATTACAAATGTATTGTAATTTATTCCTGTATTTTAAAACCACAAAGAGCTCTCTAATTTGGATGATACAATCACTTATACATATTATTCAATACACATTATTCTCCTGAAGATGATTGAAGCAACTCAATCGAAACATCAAGACTTTCTCAACTACAACAGTTCTTTTCAGAACTACCTACGTGGTGTACCGCAAGCTTTAACATATATGTTATGGCTTCGCCATGCAAACCTTCAAACAATACCCTTTGTCTCAACAGGCTAGTTATTCGCAATTTCTGGAGTCATGAGACCCGACTGCCAGCAGACACTGTGGACCGTATGGTGGCAATACTACAATGCATGTACTGTCCCATCACTGAAGCTCAGTTCCTTAGCTATGCAACAAACTTACTTCTTGAGATGACCTCACGCAGTCCCGACTACAAGAGGGAAATATTTGAAACGCCGCTCTCTGAGTGCAGGTTTGAGGCAAGTACAGTATCTGAGTAATAGTAGGGTTACACATTGGAGTAGAGACAAACTGATTAATAAGAGTGAGGCAAGTATGAGTAAGAGTAGAGGCAAGCATATGGGTAAGAGTAGAGGCAAGTATTTGAGTAAAAGTAGAGGCTAGTACAGTATATAAGTAAGACTAGAAGCAACTACATGAGTAAGAGTAGAGGCAAGTACATGAGTAAATGTAGAGGCAACTACGTGAGTAAGAGTAGAGGCAACTACATGAGTAAGAGTAGAGGCAAGTGTAAGAGTAGAGTAGAGGCAAGTGTATGAGTAAAAGTAGAGGCAAATATGTGAGTAAAATTAGAGGCAAGTATATGAGTAAGAGTAGAATTTTATTAAGAGTAAAGGCAAGTAGATGTGTAAGAATGAAGGTAAGTATTTAAAAAAAATTTGCAATTACGTTAAAGAGTTTAATGAAGTAACAATGCAATGAAAATATTATGTATATATTAATATTATGTATTATGGATGATAGACCTATTTATAAAAAATATAACTATTTTACCTTCACAGGATGTTGTGATTAGTCATTCATGGAAGCAGCGTCACGTAGCTTTATCGACTCCGTTGTTTGTAGAAACTCAAATGAGCCAATCCAGTACAGGATCACAATCACCTCCGTCTTTGCAAGAACAAGCTGGTGGAAATCTACGTGCCACCCAAGATGCTCAGCAATTTGTCGCCACACAGGATGTTGGTAAGCATTTACCAACATATGGTTCTGTTAGATATTATATTTAATAACAATGGATGTTAAAATATGAAATATTAGCTTTTTGTTTTGTCTGTTAGACTTCACAGACATGTTTGGTCAAACTTTAAAAAAAATTTTTTTTTTTGTTTCTTTATATCACATTTACAAAACAAAACAATATAAAGACAGTAAGGAAAATAGGTTCTTGGATGAATTACAGTAATTTCTGACATCTAAAGTCAGGAGACAGTCATTCCATGGTTACACCAGTGTTACGTGGCATGTTAAACATATCAGTTTCAGGGACGATCCTCTCAGACTTTTCTACAAGTAAACAACAGTCACATTTTCTAATACTTACACAGAATAGACTGCTGGCTGACATACTCAGTTTGTTTTATCAAATTATGTCTGAAAATAATATGCAGTATTAAAACAAAATCAAATGATATCTATTGAGTCAAACATCTGTTTTGTGTTTGCTATTGCAACACATTCAGTGGTGAGGTATGATTTCATCATTGATTTTGTAGTACAGGTATGTGCTTTTAATCCTTAGAAAATATCTAAGAATTGTTCTCACATCCAGTATTATCTGCACTACTCAAGCATCATAAAAATACCCCTGGTTATTACACAATATTGATGTAAATTTAATCATTAACATTGCAGGAGCAACTGCGGGTAGGAAGAATGCATACAACTGGTTGACAGGAAGTCAGGACACTTTTGCTGATTTCTCAGCCAGCTCAAGCTTGTCATCTTCTTCAATGCTGTTCACACTTAGCGAACCAAGCAAAACTCGCAGGTACGGGAGGAAAACATATGCACCAGTTGGGCCTGGGTTTGGGCAAGCTAGGCCTAGAGGCACAGATGCTCCCGATGCAGGTATGTATAGTATGTCAGGTCTTGGAGGTCCTGAGCTCAGAAAAAGCTAAGCGTATCCAAGTGTTTTTATGATGCTAATAATTAGAAGATTGTATTAATGACAGCATGCAGACATGGTATCATAGGGTAAATGAACATAATAGTAATTGTGTTTTTTTTAGGAGGTGATGTGTCTTCTGAGAAGGACAAAGAAATCCTTCGACTTAAGCGTCGTTTTCTGAAAGACAAATCAAGTCAGGGAGTATACTTTGCACGGCAACAAATTAAGAGGAAACAGAGGAGTCAAGTGAGACGAATGACTAAAGCCAGTTTTCCACAAGGCAAATTTATTCGCGCGAATGGAAAGCGTCTGTTCGCTTCCTGAACTCTGATTGGTTGCGCATTTTTTTTGCTTCGCAAAAAGTAGAAACAATTTCGATGAAGCGAAAACTCGAATAGAAATGTGAATGTGTGTGCGCATGGACCAACGCTTTTGATTCGCGCGAATAAATTCGCCTAGTGGAAAACCGGATTTAAGGACCAATAATTAAGAAGGTAGTGGTAATGATGATGGTAGCAGTAGTGAAGGTTTTAGGTGTGGTGATGCCAATTTATGAATGGTGATGGTTTGGTAGTCATGGTAGTGTTAATGGTGATGATGATGGTAGATATAGTGGTGGCACTCAGATATATCTTTCTATAGAGTTTCCCACAGTTCATTCCTCAGCAACCAAAACAATAAACCAATAGAAAAAATAGAGATCAAATCACATGCAGTATTAAATTCTCTTCTCAAGGAAAGTCTTTAATTATTAAAAATACCCCATTAGTTGATTGATTGGTTGATTGAGTTCCACTGACAAGCTTTATATTATATTTATGTATTTATATATTTATTTATTTTATATTTTTATTTCATTATCATTTATTTATATTATTCATTTATGAAACAGCATATGATGAAGCAACAACATGAAAGGCGTTTGAATACTGTGACAATGTACAGACAATATCGTAAAGGAGATTTACCAGATATCCAGATCAAGAACTCCTATGTAATTGCGCCACTGCAGGCCTTGGCACAGGTAAGCCTAATCATTGACTCATCATCATCAGCATCATCATTATCATAATCACCATTATGATAAAGATAATTATGATAATGATAGTTATGATAATTATAGTTATCTTAATTATTGTTATCATGTAATAATCAACATATCATCATGATGTCATCATTATCATGTTATCATTACCATGTCATCATCATCATCACCATCATAGTCATCATCACCATCCACATTTTCACTATTGTTTTCACCTTCATCATTATTAGCGAGCTTTCGAAATGGGCGACGCGGGGAGCTGCGATGGGGAATTCAGTCAACCATGAACGTTGTACTATGCACTTCCCGTCTCAACATCAAAGCTGTTTCGATTTACAGGACGACGCGCTCCCTCGTATTCCGTGATCAATTATGCAGGCGCCCACAGCGAGCGTGTATTTATAAAACTCACGTTGCCGTAGTCAACACAACGCCAAATCGCTTAAAGCCCGTTGTGAGATCCACACAACGAACAACTTCCCCATGTATTCGCATGCGCAGTATGGTGTCACGCTTCACTGCCCGTCGTAGAACGCCGCGTCGTCCAAATGAAAAGCTCCTTATTATCACCACATACAGTACTTATGTCATTGTCATCTACATCATTATCATTATCATAACCACCGTCATCATCATAATCATTGTTGTAACATTCTATGCTTTTTTTTCTCTCATGCAGCACGATGCTACCTTAGCACAGATGCTGTTTACCTCCCTCTTTTGTGGCATTTTTACGCAAATTGAAGAAGTAAAACAAGAAGGTCAAGCGGCAACAGTGGTCCACGACATCAACCAGCATCTCAACAGTATGATCAGTTGTTCCACAAAGTACTTCCCTCCATTTATTCATACTATACAGGTTAGACTTGGATTTTATAAATCCTTCTAAATAATACCTTATATAATCATTTAAAAATCTCTTTCAAAGTAGTGTCATTTTCAAATAAACGAAGCACCAAACTTTTCTAAGGATTTTTTTTTGGCTTATCTAAGGATCCCAGCTTTTTAAGAGATATATTTTGTTTTTAATACACATTGCAGCATTTGATTGAGAGTGCATTTTACAGTAATATAAATGATTTAAAATTCAACTCTTACAGTAATTGCCTTCATTAAACAGCAGAATATTTTAGAAATGGGACAAATACAATGCTTGTTGAAAGAATTTATCATTGATTTTTGAATTTTTTGTAGGAGATAGCATTTCATCATTCCAAACAGTTGAACCTTGACCCTGCAGCAGTCAGCACTGCTAGCCTTATGAGCCAGGAAATTAATATGGGTAAGTTTTCATAAACCATGCCATTAAGGATATGACAGAATTGTGTTAAAAGTTTGACTTATTTTTTCAGCCTTATGTAATTACAATTAAAAATTGTTTGCACAACAGGTATTGTGTTGTTAGAAGAATACCTGATGAAAAAATGCTGGAGTGACGAGAACCGACGAAAGAAGCCAAGGCTAGATAGACAGCAGCTGTCACCTGAAATCAACACGTGGATCCAGCTGTCCAGGTGGGTCAATTTGCATACAGATCGACGAGAACACCTGTGAACAACCATGAACAACAGATGTTTTAAGTTTAGCTAGTTGATAATGATGGTAGTGGTGATGAGCATGGTGATGGTAGATCAGTTTGTGGTTATGCTGGATATGGTGTTTATTGGTAGCTGTGGTATGGTTGTTGCTGTAGTACAGTAGTAGTGGTGATAGACATGGTGATAGTGGAGTGTTCATGTTGGTAGATATGATGGCTGTGGTGTTTTCTGGTAGCTGTGGTATGGTTGTTGCTGTAGTAGTAGTGGTGATAGACATGGTGATGGTGGAGTGGTCATATTGGGAGATATGATGGCTGTGGTGTTTTCTGGTAGCTGTGGTATGGTTGTTGCTGTAGTAGTAGTGGTGATAGACATGGTGATGGTAGAATAGTCATGTTGGTAGATATGTTGGCTGTGGTGTTTTCTGGTAGCTGTGGTATGGTTGCAGCTGTAGTAGTGGTTATGGTCTTGGTATTTTAGTAATAATTTTTACTTTTTAGTTTTGTTTTCGTTAACAATGCCATCAAACACCCCTGTTGTTAGCGTGATGGATTTTAGCACTATAGGCATACCAAATATTGATTGATTATTGATTGATAATGATTATAATGATGTAAAAGATAACAATGTGATGAAGATGATAACAGTTGTAATGTATTGCATGCTTGACTGATTTGATCATTCTAAACATATGAAATAACTGTATTTCATCTTTCCAGACTTTACAAGGCAATCGGTGAGTTTGATGCTCTTCAAGGTATCTTTACAAGCAGGATAGGCACAAATGAACTTACTAAGCAGGCTGTGGAGGCAGAGGCTAGAGGTGATTATGCAACTGCATACAAGCGATATAATGAGGTAAGGTGGTATAAAGTTTTATACAGTCAATAAACAAAATTTTGATATGGGGTGTGAAAATGTCCATTACTAAATATTATTTAATATATATAATATAATATGTAAAATTATTTTTGGTATGTAGGCACTGAATTGTGATAGTTGGGATGGCGCAGATCCTCAGCAAGTTGAACAAGATTTTTGGGATGAAGCTCGTCTACATGTAAGGTTTTCAAATTTATTTTATAAAGTATAAGCAAACCTTGAATTTTTTATAGATTTATAAAATAAAACTGTTGTATGCCCCTATATAGTCATGATGTGCCTATATATGGTCATGATATGATGTCATCATGACCATATTTAGGTATAATCACATGTATTTGTCAAATAAAATTTGGTAGTGTGGCAGGGCTTTGTACATAATGTTTATATGTTATTTTGTGTTGGTCTAGTGTTGTAGTCAATTGACCCAGTGGGCTGACCTAGAGAAATATGCAGTGGAAAATGTTGATGACAACAACCCACCTGACCTCAGCAAGATGTGGAATGACCCATTTTATCAGGTATGTTTTCTTTTCTGTGCATTATTTTTTACCAAAAACCCAAGTATTTTAAAGTAGTTTCAACAGCAATGTTCTCCATCTATGGTATGCCTTAGAACAGAAATTTCCTGAAAATTCCATACCTTATTCTAAACTGAGCATCAATAACTGCGGCTGTTTCCGTGTCTGTTTCTGTGTTAGCATTGCCTACTGTGACTGTTTCCATATCTGTTTATGTGTTAGCATTGCTAACTGTGTCTATTTCCGTGTCTGCATCTCTAAATGTGTCTGTTTCTGTGTTCGCGTCACTAATTGTGTTTGTTTTTTTGTGTCTGCTTCTGTGTTAGCATCTCTAAACTGTATTAATGTAGTTCCTGAGTCAGTTTTAGTGTCTGTACCAATTATAGGCCATTCTAATCATCACTTTTGTTTTTGTTCTATTTTAAAATGTAACTTAAAAAAAACAATAAAACATCTACTTTATTCTCTTATTACAGTCATCAAATATACAATATCTATTTTGTATTTGAATATGATTAATTAATTTTTAGTAATTTATATTTTATTTTCTGTTTGTGAATATGATTAATTTGATTTGCAAATATTTTTATGCAGGATTGTTACCTGCCATACATGGTTAAAAGCAAGTTAAAATTGTTGATTGCTGGAGGAGATGATGAATCGCTTCTAAAGTTCATTGACCTCTCCATGAGAGACCAGGACAACAGAAATTACAGAAATTACTTGGAGGTAATTTATTATTTCAACTTCGTTACTGTAATGATTTATTTCATCCAGTAATTTGTGGATTCACTTACTGTTGGGGGTGAAAACGGATGGAGCTCTAGTCTTGCAGTTGAACTTTGACCTGCACTCATCCGATGTGCTACACTTGTACTTTCCCAACTCCAATAATTTCTCCAAAAGCTCATAATTAATGGTTTAAGAAATGCTTTGAAATTTAACTAATTCGTATAGTAAACTAATTCCTTATTAAAATTTCTTTTTTCCTAAATTTTATTGCATCAGCTGTGCTATGATTAATTCAAGGCCCATGCTAGGCCTAATTCCATGTGTTCATTATTGCATTGTTATCCCATCACTGTCACATTAGTCACCGATAATGATAACGAAAATGTGACATATTTGTATTCGTTGTTGTAAGTTATTAACAATTTTCTACCAGTCTAGTGTACTGAATATTTGATGTTAATGAATAAAAAAAAAAACTTCCATTTTTACAGTCCATGTTCAGTGAGGAACTAAGTCTTCTGTACATCTTACAAGACGACTACAACAGAGCAAAGTATTATATAGACGAGCACATTCAGGCATTTTTACAGGTACACTATTATTACTTATTAAGTACCTAGGCTATGCAGTGTCAGAAGATATTTCTAAACCTCTGCATTTCAACTGTATTATTAGCATGTTCTTTATTATGACATTCCACTTTAGATGGTGCTACTGTATTGATTATCTTCGTTTTTTTGGACAAAAGGATTGGTCTGGTCTTGGTCAGCTAATGACGACTAGCAGAATGTCTAAGCTGCGCACCGTACAACGATTTACAGAAATCAAAGAGTTTTTAGAATTTGTGACAACCAGTAAGTATGTATGTACTGTGCTATGCATAGAGCACTTTAAAAATGCTTGTTTATTATTATAACTATTATTATGTGTATGAAATAACCTTTGACTTGGAGCTTTAACTAGTCTGAATTGCTGACAGGCGCGGATTAACTCCTTTAACAACTTTCTTCTCACACATCATGTCAAATCAGCTGCCGAGAGGCACACTTTCATCTGTCCACGACACATAGGCTTAAGATTTATTTCACAATTAGTGCCTGAAATCATAATGTCTATTTGGTAATGAAGTGCCACACGTTCTCATTAGGTCAGTATGTACTTGCATACAAGTTTGTGTAGTGTAAATAATTTGTTTTTCTGTTCTTGTCCTTGTAGGTAAGCAGGATGATTCACACACTTTCAGTTTACTTGAGAAGTGGGCAAGTAGATACCCAGATCCTAGGCAGGATCCGATTAATATTTGGGATGATGTTACTACCAATAGGTACAGTAAATCCCATAAATGTAGCGTTGCCATGAAGATATAATTCAGAAGAAGAAAACAATTAATGTATTCTGTAATATAAGTGGTGTTGAAAAGCTTAATGGTTAAGGTGCTTGCCTTCAAATTCCAGGGTCCTGGGTTCAATTCCTCTCACAGCAGGACTTTTTCTCATGACCAAAAACAAAACCACTCCCTAAGCCTCAATAAGTAAGTAACGAAAGTGCTTACTGTTGGGCCAAGAAATTGCAGACGAAAATAAGGTCATTAAAAATAGACAAAGAGATAATATTGAGATCATCAATTTTTATTTTATTTTTCTTCTATTTAAGGTCATTTTTTATGGAGAAGTTGGCAACAAGAGGCAGAGTAGATGACTTCGGTGACAGTGATATGTTGTCACAAGACAGAAGTTTATATGAAAGAATTGAGACTGGAAACCTGATGATGCAACTGAAGATGGCAGACAGTGCTTGTCAGCTGGTATGGGATTTATACAGCTTCATGATTGCTTTAAAGTGGATGTGTATTTTAGTGTATAATGCACCTAATAATGCTCCTTTGCTCAACTCCCAAATCCTTCAACACCCAATTTTGCATCCCTTCCAACAGAGGGTGTGCTAATCAAACTGCCATTTCAGCCCTTCAAGTGAATTTCTGCCCTTCTTGAAATGCAAGGAGAGCAGCGATTACTTTATGCTACCCATTACCAATAATTACATTGTTAGTGTCTGTAGGTATACATCATAAAATATTATTGGATGATTAAATTTCATAATATAGATTTACTATGAAGAATAATTATTTTAATCTCCATTTTTTATTCTATGCCCATATAAAGTCATAATGTACCTATATATGGTCATGTTGTGATGTCATCATGACCATATTTAGGCATGTTTTTGTCAATTAAAATTTTGATAGTCTAAGCAGTACTTTACTCGTGCTTGCTTTCAGGCAAACTTTCCTGTAGCCAAAAAGAACCTAAAGAAAAGCTACCGTATTCTGGACAATCACGATTCTCTGCGGCCTATGTGGACATTTGCATATGTGAATATGTATCAAACTGAAGCTCCCTCAATGGAGCCCACTAACAGAGTAACCACAGTCTTGTCAACATTCAACCCCTTAGGTTAGTGATAAAAGTACACATATAATCGTTATTAGTAAGTGAATTGCAGCCATTTTTATTCAGACTACTCATGATAACTTTTCAGTATTTTTTTTACCAAAGCATTAAATTTCTCCACAGAAAAACTGAGCAGTTTGCCTGTACTGCAGCATGAGAAGTCTGTGGGGATTAAATACAATATGATGATGAGCAGGTCATGCGAGATCATCGCTCACACTCTGCTACAGTCAGGTGAGTCATTGGTGCCCTGGCCAAGAAAATAGGCAAATGAACAGCATGGCATTTGAACTCTGACCTTACTCCCACTAGTAATTATTCAATAGTATTTTAGTTAAGTATACTGTAGATAATGAAATACTGTCAATAATATATCAATAATAATGATCACAGTTCAGTATTTAAATAGTTTTTGGCACCACTACTGTAAGTCTCAGAGTGTTTCGCATTATTACACCAGTCGTTGGAACCATTGGAACAATCCCTAAGGAACACATACTCAGCTCCCTGGGAGAGTATTCCTTAATTTGGTGCATGCAGTACACCAGTGCATTGACACTTGAAAACTCCTAGATGCCCCACCTAATGTATACTCCTGTTTAGACACAACATGGATAAAGTGAACTGAGGCAAAATTCAACACACTCGAAATCTTGACCTCAAGGTTAGGAAACCAATCTGTTACCACTGTGCTGAACTGCTACATGGAAAGTATAGTAATCCAAACCACAACTCTTTCCACCCAGACATATAAATTGGAACTCTTGTAGGATGTTGTAACATTCAATACTTTGGTCTATGGACAATCCAGTGCTGTATGACTTGCTCCCCAAAGAGTGGAGGAGGTTTCACATTGCTAATATAGATCCAATGTCCAAGACTCATATTTGAAGTGAAAAGCACTATATAACAATTTTTTGTATATATAACTCTAGGTGGTGCAGTTATGCAAGAAATAAATGCTAATAAGCTACAGAGGTTAAAAGAGCTGATCAATGTACAATCGGATGATCCAAGAAAGGTAGAGTACAAGAATAAGATTTGTATTCAGGATATGAAAACGTTTAGGCCTCAGGGAGTTGTTTGTCCCAGCTTGCCGCATGGTTACTACTTTTAGGATGTGGGTATGCAAGTCACTGTGACTTTAATGCAGTACTGTTTCTACCCTAAAATGTATGTGTACTGTTCTTCCAGGTTGCTGATGGCATGTTCAACATGGCCTACTCTCACCTTGAAAAGGCTGTGAATTGTACCTCCCAGGATGCAACATCTGATGCCCAGTCTGTAGCTAGTGAAGCTCACATGGCCATGGCTTTGTACTGTGACAAAGTTCTCAGATGCCAGGAAGAAGGTATGTTGACAGAAACTTTTGTTGGCCTCGCAAATACAAATCATTCTTATCTTTGTTGAAATAGGGATCTCTTACTTGTTATTTGCTCCACTAGGTGTCACCATTTTGAAGACACTTGGCTGTCATTTTCCATGAGAATGGTTGACGTATACACAACCGTTAAGGCGCGATCTACAAATTATCCCCAACGACAGAAACGGGTCAAACACGTTTACTATTGTTATATGACAAGCTCCCAAACGCGTCTGTGAAATGCCGTTTGGATGCTTGTCGTTCGAGCCGTTTATTCCGTTTGGACGTTAACTCCTCCCCTTTTCATATGGCTGACTGCTCGTGAATGGCAAAATGTTAAACGCGTTCAGCGAAATTTGGAATTTGATCGTGATTTAAACAACTTCAAAACTTGTTCAGTGTCCCTACCGTACCT